TTTGAGGTTCTTCTAACTCTACAACGCTCGTAAGCACTTCTTCGTTGTGTTCTTGAGTACCCATTGTGTTAACATCACTTTCTAACCCGTTTGTAATACCACCATCATCCTTTATATCACTTGTTTCAGCCTGTTTCTCAAATGGCATCAATTCTGGTTGAGTTATTTGACTTGGAATCTGCTCTTCATCAAATTCTTGTGATATTTTCAAAGACGTCTTGTCAAGTTTTGGTGAAGGTGACAACGTCGATCCCGAAGACCCGTCACTGAGTTCCGGGTTCGACAAGACATTGTCTGTAGCGTCTTCCAAAGAAATTCTAAAGTTATGTTGTCGGATAGGAGAGTCTTGGAGGGAGTCGACACTATTTTGGAACTTCTTAGTAGCGGGGGTCATCGTTTTTCTAATCCCAATGACGAATTTTCCTTTTGGTGGGATGATCATCTTTTTCTGTGTTTGTGCGATGAGGGGTTGGTGGAAGTCCGATTGCATTAAAATGGTTTGTTTTCGTTGTGTCGGTTTTGATAATGCGACAATAGGGTCGAGGGAGAGTACTTCACTCTTTTTGAGGCATTCGTCTTCAGTCATTTTAATAATAGATTGAATAGCAATAGAATAAGTCGTAAGGGCATATCCCGCTTGTGTTAAAAAATCTTCTTCATTCAGAAAAAGTTCTAACATTAACGAAATAGCAAAGGGATATTTGACGTGTGAGTGTAAGATCGAAAAAGAAAACAGCCCCAATAAGTCATCACTATCACTAGATATTAATTTATTATAATTTATAGAGTATAATATATAGTATGATAATTAATGGTATATATATAGTATATTTATAGTAAATGAAAGACAAACAAAGCCTTTGGCAATTCACCACTATGCATCATCTTAACTTCATCGATTAAAACAGTTTGTGAAGAGACCAATTTTTCTCGCATGACATCAACGGTTTCACTTTCTTCGATGGAATTTATAGAGTCGATAGTTTTCATGAATGACTCTTCTGAGCTTGGATATTCCATTGGGAAGATAGCGGGTTTAATTTTGAGAACAAGTCTGAGATCACTGGACAAGTACTTTTTTGCTTGGAGTTGGAATCTGAAGTCCAAGTCTTTAGTTTTTGTTGCGATGAATTGGAAAGCGGACGGGAATACTTTTTCCAAGACGATAGTAGAGAGCGGTTGTAACATTTGTAAACGAAATTTTTTTATTTGTTTGTAGTACTTTGAGAGGGTGAAAAGGATTTCGGCAGTAATTAAAGTGACGACATCTATAATAGTTTGTTTCAACGTTTGGTTATCAAAATGTTTTGGATTAGTCGTTTTAAAATTGTTTTCAAAAGTGGAGTATGTTTGGTTGATATTATGTTTCAATGGATGGTCGGTCGATTGTACCAATTTGGTATATACATATGTGACTGTTTCTTCTATCTTGTTCTCTTTTAATAACTGACGGATAGTATTGTTTATCTCAGTGTCTAACACCTTCACTTCTTTGCTCTCCATGAATTCGCCGTTTTCAAGTTCTATAACTAGTTTCCTTTCATTTAGTGGAGGGTTGTTTAATGGATTATTGTTCATATACTTTTTGTTTCGTTTGAAGTAAAATCAATTTTTTTATCGGTCTGAGTGGGTAAAAGTTTAGATATAAAAAGGTTCATTTCTATCGCCGATATATTTTTTTCAAAAGTGTTTAGCCAATTGTTGTTTTGTCTTTTAACAAAATATGTTAATTAAAATAGATTTATAAGTTTATAAGTTTATTTTAATTCATAATTTAAATATTATTATTATTTAACTTTTAATTTAACGGAATGTAAATTAATTATTGTCGATTATTTTTGATTATATCAACACCAATAATCATTGGTGTATCAAAAATTTAACTACAATAATAAAATTGATACCGATATAATTTCAAAATTATAATATAAAACCCATAATATTTAAATTATTATCTCTTTTAATTAAAAAAAATATAGAGATATCAAATAAGAAAAAAATTCTATGTTTTATAACTTAATTAAAATGATGATATTACTCAGCTCACTCTGAAACGTGATGATTTGACCATATCTGATTAAATTTTTATATTTATTAGTTATTTTAGTATTATTTTAATAATAATAATAATAATAAAATAATAATACAAAAATCAACCGTTATATTTCGGTAATCCAAAATTAAAACCCTAATTTTAGTATAGTTCTAAAAAACTAAACAAATGTAATGAATTATTTGTTTCTCTTTTTATCTGAACCCTGTTCTAAATGTATCACCTTAATGACCCGATTTGTTGGTGAAGAGTTGAACAAACTAAAAAACAAACTGAAATTTGTTGCAGTGGAGTTTCAAGTATAGTAAAATATATAGTATTTTATTAGTAAAAAGGAACCATTACGAGGTCTGGGAACTTACAAAATGAGAATTCGAGCACACTGACCGACACAACTTTCTCGACAAATGGCGGATGAACACTTTCTTCCAAAGACATCAATAAATAAATTGATAAAAGAGAACATATCTCCTTCTTTTCGTGTCTCTTCTGATTTGCGAGACGTGATTGCGGACTGTGGTGTTGAGTTTATCCACATACTCGCGGCTGAGTCGAAGGACGTCGCCGGATCTGCAAACAGGAAAACTTTGAACACAGACCACGTCATCAAGGCTTTAAACAACCTCGAGCTCACTGGTTATATTGATGAGTTGAAAGGTCTTATCGACGAGCAGGCAAAAAATATTGCTAAGAAACCCGTTGATCCTGAACTCACTCAGGAGGAGAAAATCAAAAGGCAGCAAGAATCTGAACAACGGGCACTTGAAAAGCTTAACAAACAGTACGGTTCTGAGCAGGTGAAGACGTTTATGACGTCCCTTCAAAAGCCCACAGACCAGGGACCGTCTTTTGATATTCCCCACTAATGTTTCTTATTAGATGGTCACTAATTGATTTTGGTGATTCTTTTTAGCCTTAAACATCCTTTCGTTCCACTTCTTGAACAAAGAGATTGAATTATTTTTTTTTAATTTCAAACATAATTGATTTATTATAAATTAATAATTATTCATTTTATAGGATTTAAAGTGAGGAATAAACAAACAGAAAAGGGACAAAACTAGGAAACAAGAATGTCAATTGCAGGTCAAATCCAACAACGACTGTTGCCAATAAAACTTACAGCCAAGTTTGTTGCTGACTGTATCACCTATTTGCAGATGTCGAAACCACAAATTCTGGGAAATATCGACACAATGACCCAATACGTATACAACACATTTTTGAATTCGATGATCTCCACGTGCTGCTCTTCGTTTCTCCCAGACTTCTCGTTCGACACCAAAGAGGAAAAACTAGACATAGCAGTGTTACAAATCAATGAGTACACAGATGTGTCTGCGTCAGTCGATGATGCTTTTAAAGAAACGAAAAACAGAATGATGAAGCTCGCGTTGACAGACGGAATGAAAATTGTATATGCGTTTGAGCACTCTCATGTGAATGGACTATGTTTGGGAATTAAACCTGGGGCCAAGATAGTGTTGAGGAATGTGAAAGTACGAAGAGGGTATTTGTGTCTCGACAACACGAATTGCCAACTATTAGGTGGAGAAGTTGAGGAGCTTGTGAAATTGGAACAAATGAAAAGGGCTGCGTTGGATAAGAAATACAGACCTTCATACGTTCCTTTGTCAGTCAAAAGAACAGAACAAGTTCCTTTGGGACAAGTAGATCCAGACGAAGACGACCAATAAGTATTCTAAGTGATGTACAATTATTGATTACTCACTTGACGCAATCCGTCAAAGTGATAATTCACAATTTGGGTGATTTATTATTTCTGGGGTTAAGAAATTACTCAAAACAATACAGAATTATACTTATAATAATTATAAACCATTTAATAATTTATTTATACCAAATTATATAAATATATTAGAAAACAATTATTAAATTAATTAACAACTTCTTAAAAAAATCAAGGTTTTTCACTTTTGTTTTACTCTAATAAATACTAATAAACTATCAAATCATTCGTATGGGGTTGATTGGAAAGTTTTTCTATGACACTTTTTCATTTATAGGAGGCCTGGTTTTCCCCGTCCCAGCTGATCACTTATTACTTCAACAACGACAAAGAGAAGAACAGTTACAAAACCAGAACACTTCAACACAAGCCACACAAAATGAACCAGTTGCTGCCGTCCCACAAGCAGAAGCAACTCAACAGGACAATTTACAAGAAACAAAGCAAACAACACAAGAGCCACATGAAAAATCGTTTCCCTCTTTGGTCAACCCTTTAAAGAAACGCGTCATAGAGATCGACTCGGAAGCAGACGAACAAACAATTATTAAGCAATTTATAACTATTATCGACCAAAAGAAACGATCCAGTATTAGTACCATCAGTACGAAACAAGAAACACCTACGGAAGAGAAACGTCCACGACTGACATCAGATCAGATCCGGAAAATGTCAAAACAAGAGGCCGCTTTGTATTTGAGAACTTCTACGTCGTGTCCCCATTTCAAACCAAAGAAATTGGTAACAAGAAATTCTTATTATAAGACGGAGACACCTAGTCAAGGAACACAACCGAAACAAATTAGTGGTGTTGATTCATATTCACAGATGCTTAAAAATCAAGATATGGCATTGCAACACCTGTCAAAATTTTTTTCTGGTGATTCAACGTTATTATCTGGTACTTCGAAACCTTTGCCTTTGCTGTCAAGCTCATCGAGTGAAGAAACACCAATACCACTTGGACCAAAGAAAGACCGAATGAGCGATTTTGGAGGGAAACGACCATCAAATGCGACGATGGAGAAAAGAAGGAAGAGGATTGAACATGTGAAACCGATTCGAGGGATACGAGAGGACAAAGAAGAGAAGGTGGAGAACAAAATTGCGAGAATACATAAAGAGACACAACGGAAGAAGACAACAAGCGATTTCACACTACCGACAGACAAAAATCAAATACATGATGGGCTAATAAAGGATTATTTCCAATCCATTAACGAACCTTCAATGAAGAGAATAAATACAGAAAAGAAGATAAACCCAACACCACAAATGAGTTCAACTTTTGATATGAAAGATCATATTAACAACAGATTCAATTTTGAAATACCAAAACAAGTCGTTGCAGAAGTTAATACTGAAAAGGGTGAAGAGAAAAAGAACGTGATAAGGGAGGAGAACTTGGGAAATACACATCTTTATTTTGCACCAATACCAATACCTCAAAGTCGTAAAGATCCAATTAAAGATGATGAGAAAAAGAGTGATCAGCCTATTGTAAATTTAACACCCGTTGCACAAGTCAATACCACACCGAATGTCCCTTCTTTTGACTTCAGAAATGTATTTAATACAGTGGCCGAAAAGCCAAAGGAAGACGTCACAGTGGAGAATACACAGAATTTGAAACAAATTGATATGTTAAATACCAATTTAATTGGATTTGGAACAGTACCTCCAAATGCTGAAACTAAGGAAAGTGCAATGCAACAAGTGACGGATGTGAAACCAAATGTTATAGAAGAGAAACATGACACACCAGTAGAGATCAAGCCTATGATAACAACACCAAATACTACAACAAATACATTCTCTGATTTTACAGGGTTTGGGTTTAATCGCCCCATGGCAGAAATGGAAAAGAAAGAACCTTTCCATCTTGAGAAACCAGTGCAAGTCAGTAAAGAACAAGTTGAAACAAAGAAGACAACAAACACTTCATTCACCTTTCCACCAACAGAGATCAAGAAACGAGGGTTGGAAATGGAAAAAAGTCCAGAAGAACACGTGCAAGAAGAAGTGAAGGCAGTGGAAGACAAAAAAGAGGAAAACAAAAGAGAAAGCACTGCAACACAACCATTTGCTGGGTTTTTTAAAGGATTCGATTCGTTAACTGATGGAAAGGAAGGGCTACCAACGGGGTTCAAATTTGAAGGGTTTGGAAACGTCGGGAGTTTGGCTACAGAGACACCAAAAGTGGGCGAAAAGGAACAAGAGAAACAAACACATGAAGTTGTATCACCACCTATCCAACCTTTACAAATGTCAACTACTCCATCTACTTCAACTACTACTACGACGACAGATTTTAAAGGGTTTGAAGGTTTCAACTTTGGAAATACGACACACGAGACGAACAAAGGAGAGACAACATCAACTGGTAATAATACGTTTGATGGTATGTTCAACACAACACCTGTTACTCCAATAACTCCTGCAACATCAGAACAACAAATACAAACAACCGTATCAATAAATACAACACCAGAAGGCGTTACTAACACTCCACCTGTCTTTTCTACAACTGATAATCAAATGACTCAAACCAATGGAACACAAAATGCACCAATGGTACCAACTCCTTCAAACAATATGGCTACTGATGTAAAAATTGAAGCAAAAGAACCGTCTAAAGTTGAACCAACTAAACAAGACGAAGCTATTGTAATACCTCAAACAACACCTCAAACAAATATAGAACCAACTCCAATACCTCAACTTGTTCTTCCAATTGAAAACAAGGCAGTCACTACTACTCCTATTGAACAACCGAAAAACGACCAACCTATTCCAATACCACCAGTTAACCCAACAATAGCTCCAACAGTTGCTCCACCAGCTATGTTCACTCCTCCAACTCCCTTTGTTGGCTTCGATAACAAAACCCCTGCGAGTAATGACTTATTTGCTTTCAATTTGACGCCACAAACGTCAACAATAATTGCTACACAACCCGGTGCACCCACTAATTTGAATGGAACACAAGCTATGACACCATCAACCCCTTCAACAGGCTTCGCTTCGGCTTTTGGGTTCGGCGATAAGACACAACCGCCTCCTTTCACCCCACAGAATACATCAACTACCGTTGCACAACCATTACTATCGAATAGTACGAGTGGAACATCAGCGGCTTCCACAGGTACATTATTTGGCGACTTGTCTATCAAAATGCAGAACGTGGATTTCAATGCCAATACTAAACCAAACAACGGGAATGGAACAACACTCTTTGATTTTGGGAATCAAACGAACACCCCCTCACAATTTGGAATTGGCCGGCCGACCATCCAAAACGACTTCACTGGGTTTGCATCTGCTTTTTGCCCAAATGCTACAGACAACAGTGCAAATACTTCCTTTGGATTTGGGACGATTGGGCAGTCGTTACAACAACCCTCCAGCCCCAACCTTCAATCCCAAAGCAATTTCTTTGGGATGGGCCAAGTGCAAGGGCCAGCTGGGACCTTTGACTTCAAATCTGAAATGGAAAAGGCATTTGCACAAGACGGGAGTTCGTTCACATGTGTCAGTGATAAACATAAGCATAAACAGAAATGAGTGTTATATTGATTACGTTTTAACTCTTCTTTTGATTATAACGGGTTCTATGGTATCCCGGGAGACGCAGAATATTACCGATATAAACAATACCAATCAATTCATACTACTGATTGAAGACTTGGGAAGTAAGAAGTGGAGTGTGACGATGCCATTTCACTTGATGTCTTTCCAGTTGGGGACACTCGGAAGTGGCGAGTAATGCATCACCTTCTTGATCGGCGAGATCTTTGGCCGCGTCGCTAAACTCCGTTGTAACGCTATGATTTGTGGATCACTAATCGCAGATTTCGAACGAGCCATCTTCTCGGGGAACTTATTCTGATCAACAAGTTGTGTCTCTTCTGACATCGTCGGCGCAAGACAATTACGTCGTCGTGTTATCTCGCCATGATGTTCATAATCGCGAGTGAGCGGAGTATCAAAGGTGTTGTGTTTGTCATTTGTCACGGTGATGTATTCACTCTGAGCACTCTTTTGAAGTGTTGGGGAAGGCTTGAATTCCGCTTTTGATGGGTGAAGCGATTGCTTCGCATTGATCGATTGAATGATTTGATTCACACGCTTCACTTCACTCTCTTTCTCACTCTTTTCTTTGGGTTCGAGCACTTTCACACGAACAGCAGAAGACACGGGCGACTTCTCAAACAGATTTTTGGCAACTCTGGGTGCCGCGTGTTTCTTCGGTCGTGCAGATTTTATTACATTGCGGGGTGAGAGTACTTGCGACACATAAGGCGACACCTTCGCCGACAAAAATTCGGGCTTCTCGATTTCTTTTGTTTGAATAGGAGACGCCAACGAAAATTCAGTTGGTGGCGCAAAGAGCGTTTTATCATTCTTTTCTATTTCATTTGGATTTGCTAATGCCACACTCTCGTTGAAGACGTCGCTCTCCACGTTATTTTGTATTAAGTCAATTTCATTGTTCTGATGGAGTGTGATTGGCGTGATTTTCTTCATGACCAATTCTTGACTGATTGTGTTGTTATCAAACCCACTGAACACTTCCTCTTCCATCGCTTTGTGTTCTATAGTTGGTGCAGCGATGATGGCTGTTGAAGGTGGTTGGTTCACTATTTCCTCGCGTTTCTCTGGTGTTATTTCCATAGGCTTTCCAATCGATATTTCAGACACTTTTTGCACTTCAGAAATATCACTCAGATCGTCCCCTTCCAATGACATCTTCGCTGGCATCTTACTCTCTTCCAAATTGAGCGGTGGTGGTATGCCCTCCTTTCCCACTTCTTTCTCTTTGACTGTTGATACAACACTCTGCATTTTCGTCATTTCAGTCATGTTCAAATCTATTTGCAAGGGGTGTGGTGGAGTTTTCACTTCCTCAACCATCTTTGTAATCGTCTGAATTGGTGCCACCTCCTTCTGTTCAGTTTGTGGAATTGCAATTTCTGTTATCTTCACTTGATTTGGTGTTTCCAATTTCATTGTTTTCTCATCACCACCATTTTGCTGTGCAACTGGAGCGATTGTATTCGTTTGTGGAATCACTACGAGCTCATTGTTCTCAGTCTCTTTCTTCTCTTTGTTCTTCAAAGTCTCTTGAAGTTCCTTTTCTTCCATCCGACTCATCTCCTTCAATTCTTTCTTTTTCTGGCTCATTGGACTCTCCTTCTTGGAATCAACACCACTGACGTATGAGACCAATTCCATGTTTTGTTCCCCAATACTCCCAAACCCTTCGATATCAGAAATGCCATCATCAATACTCTTTCGCTCTCCACTTGTCCTAAATAACATTTGCCGACTTCTCAAATAGTCCGCAGTGCATCGAATAAGCTCATCAAATTTGTGATCACACTTGACATCCTTTTCTTTCATCAATTGATTGATCAAGTCGCGTCCAATCTCGTTGTACAGCTTGCCAAGAACATACAACGCGCCAAGTTCATTGTTCCTTTTCGACGCTTTGCTGTATATTGTGAAGAACATCTCGATCAGAAAATTGCTGGGTAACTCAATTTGTCCATTCATATCGTCAAACAAGTTATTCAACACCATCAAACACGTTGATCGTGTCATGAGGTGTGAAGTAGTATACACCTTCCACAAGATTTCAATCAGCTTGAAAGGCGTTAACGTAAGCAACAACAGTCTGCTGATGACTATGATTTCCGATGAAAAGTATTGCGCCGACTTAAACAGGTATTCTACAAATTTCTGACTCCTCACGTTCTCAAGTGATGTCCCATTCTTCACCTTCTCCTCCAAAAACTTCCTCACAATTAAACAAAACTTGGGCAACAAATTGAAGTCTCCTTTCAGTAATAAAATGCACCCCCATGTCATGATAAACTCCTCAAAATTCGTCTTCGTGACATCCAAGTTATTCACTGCAGTCAAACACAAATCAACATCTCGCTGCGACAACGATATTAATCGCTGCAAATAGTCTTGTGGTAACATCTCCGCACCAAGTCTCAGAACGTCTTTAATATACGTGTCTGGTATTTTATATAATACTAAGAGTTCGGTTGGGATCATCGTTTGTGACCGGACAATCACAGGATTTTGGCCCACGTTTTTGACCACCATTGAAATTGTCGCGCACCTCTGTATTAACGAAACTGTTGGCTTTCCAAACTCAGGAATGTCGCCATTCTGTTGCAAATTGGATATCGTTTTTCTCATCGGCACAACATTCATATTGTCGTCTATAATCGTTGGCTCTTCTTCCATCGCTTTTGTCATATTTTCTACACACGAAATGTTCAAATCATTTGAACTCTTCCGAATGACAGGTTGCGAGACAGAGTCTCGACACACTTTGATTAAATGCGTTAACTTCTTTGTAATCATCTTTTTGTTATCCGACACTTGCTCTTCCTCCATTTGGCCAGTCTTCTCAGTAAAATCCTCTGCAAATCGAGTCTTTTGCGAGTCTGTTCCACTTTTGTCTCCTTTCTTTGTAAGACCAGAAAATGCACTCCGCCTGAAGAAGTCATTAAACGCACTTGTCTCGTTCGGATTCAACTCGTGGACACGTTCTTTGAAGATCGAAGTCCCAAACAATTTCATCATCTTCGTCACAACACCCTCCGCCAATTTTCTCAACTCCAAATTCCTCTCATTCAAATGTCTCATCAGCAGTACAATAATGTTCCTCACAACTTGCGCCTCCTTTTCATCCATTTTGGTACAGAAAAAGTCCAACACTTCAAGTGCGGATTTCCGAATCGATGGGTTGTTATTTAAATACAATGAGTTGTAGAGTTGTCCCATCACTGCAGGCAGTCCAAGTTCATTTCCAATTGATATCATCACCTCCTTTGCATTCTCTTTGATTTGTTTATTCGTCTCTCCAAGTTGCACAATGACACTCGGCATAACTACTGCAATGTGTCTCTGGAACCCAACCTTAATCGAACATACAAGTGCGTTCAACGTCTTGATAGCAACAGTCGCAAGCGCTCTCTTCGGGTCAGTGATCTTCGTCTTTAACTCGCTAACTAAAATGTCACTCTCATTCGTGTTGATTCTCCCAGTCTTCAAATATACTTCGGCGTCCTCTAACGCGGTAATCTGTCTCTTCCAATCCGACGATTTCAAATTGCGGAGGATTTCTGTGATATTCAATTTCTTTTCTTTCTTCACAGGTTGCATAGCCGTATTCGTTTTAGTGGGCTTTGTATATCTCTGAACGCCTTTCGAGACGGGCCGCGCACTTCCGTCTCGTTTTAACTCGGGTTTTGGTAGTGTTCGCACTCTCTCGATATTTGGCGCTGAATTTCCTTGAAACACGCGTTTATCAATTTTCTCGAGTTTCCCAGTCTTTTCTACTTTATTGGGAGCAACAGTTTCCATCTTCTTCGGTAAGTTGATTGTGAAATTCATATTTTTAGTCTCCGATATCGTGTCAGTCGGAAACACTTGACTCGGGTTTTCAGAGTTACACACTTCCCCGTTAATTCGCTTTCTGACTATTTTAAGTCTCTCCTCCGACACGTTGTGAAGTAGATCCAACACAGTAAATCCATTGATTTGGACATACACCATCAGACTTTTTGTTGCTTCATCTCGAGATTCCTTTCTTTGGTCTTGTAAACACTCAGAGAACAAATCAGCCCAATTAGAAACTTTATTCGACACAACTTCCTTGAACTTTTCAAGAAGTTTCTGCGACAAAAGCATGACATTCATGTTACTCACAGAAGTCCCTTTCACTTCATTCAGAAGTTCAATGACTTCGTCGTAATTCTTTAACACGTTCACAAATGTGTCGATGATGGTATTCACTATATTCTTGTTACTCTCTTTTAAATGTTCTGTTATAGTTCTATACGTTGTACTCATATCACAATTCTTCTTTGTAAGTTCTTCAACAGTCTTCATAGCACACGAACACACCACAACGTTGTTCTCTGTGATCAACTTCTTCAGTTCTTCTTTCACTTCTTCGACGCTTTCAACGACTCCACAAAATTTGTTCAGCGTGGTGTTCAGTGTATTTAATGCGTCGCGCTTCTCTTTCCATTTCCCTCCTCGAACAATGACAAAGAAATTTGGTGGCAAAATTTTGACAATTTTGACGCGTTCAACGACTTTCTCTTCTTCCATCTTATTCAAACTTTCCTTTGCAACTGTTAGTATCACGCCGTCTCTTACATTTCGTATCACTTCAGTCTTTTTGAATGGGTTTTGTGAGCAAAAAACGTCGTAATCCTTTTTCTGTGCTGGGGGGATGGTGTTCACAAAATTGGTCATTCGCGTGTCGCCAAGTTCGGAGACTAAGAAGTGGACAATTCGTAATGCGCCTTGTCGCGACTCTTTATCTCGATGAACCACCCATTCTTTCAAGACATTTGTTAATTCCTCAAAGCAAAAGATCTTCACGCCAAACAGTCGAAGAATATTTTCGACGGCTTTGATCGCTTCGGAATTCATTTTAATGTTCTTGTGTTTCGACGCTTCACATAGCGCCGCAAAGACCTCTTCGTTCAAACCTATTTCAACCATCTGATTGTACAACTCTAATGTGCGCTCTTTCCCTTTCGCCCGCCCTACTAATCCTTTCTCGCCTATTTTCGTGACTATTTTCCGACCTATTTCTCGTGCTCGGTCATCACCATTTTTCTCAAAGTACGACAGAACAGCCAACAACGCATTCTCTTGTGCTGTTGCGTTGTTATCAACAACAACTTCTTCTATTTTCCCTAAAAATGGGTCAACATTAGTAAAGTCATTGGCTTTAAATTGTTGCTCGAGAGTTTGGTATGCCTCGCTCCGCAATTTCCAGCTTTTGTCGCTCATCTTCTCGAAAAGACTCATTTCGACCTTCTCTTTCTCTTCGGCCGTCATTAAATGCTTTTTCTGGTTTTTCTCTTTCCGCTTTTTTTTCTTTTATTGTTCTTCACTTTTTGGAAACCCTTCTCTTTCTATTTATTGAAATAACAAAACTAAGGCAATTCAATTTTTCATCCGCAATTTAACAACATCTTCGTGTACAAGCCGCATCCCTTTCCGGAAACACATAATGTTCACAGAAACAAATATGAACGCCACACTCAGGTCCGCTTTTTCTTTGTCACTCGCAACGTTATAGATTTGGTTGAGTAAATCTTGGAACTCAATCTCATCACGCCCCTCTTGCGTCTCTTTCACAAGAATTTTTTCAATCAATTTTTCACACCCGTCGTAATCAAGGTTCTTTGGCTTTGTCGCAGCCGTGATCTTCTCAAAATTAATCATACGTGGGATCGGAACTTGTGTAAACGTCTCCTTTTTGTCTCTCTTCTCTTCCTCATCATCACTCCTCATGACCATTCGTTCCTCTTCTTCTTCGTCTCCTTTGACCATCGATCTCATAATGGAAGGCCTTGCTCCCATTAACGAGAGTCTGCTCAACCCAAGCTGACTTTTTTCTCCATTTTGATTCACCCCTTGAATGTTGTCATTCCTCACGTTCTCAATCTTCTTCTCACTCATTTTCTCATTTCCAATTTTTCTCTTTTTTGCCAGAACGAGACCATTGAAAAGCGACAAATTTACCTCCTCAAATATGGGGCGGATCTTATCCGACACCTTCAGTTCCGTAGTTGTCGGCTTCTTGTTGAAGAACGATTTCCACGATACGGGTTTCTGCTCTCTTAAATCAAAAAACTCGACCTTTTCCTTCTTCTCACGCTTCTTGACTTCTGTCTTCTTCATGAACTTACCCTCGCGCTCTTTGGCTTTTATCTTCCTTCGGATTTCTTTGATGTTGTAGATATTTGGGTCGAAGTAAGTAAAGCCGTTCTTCTCAACTACTGGCGCTAAGATCTCTGGATTGCCCACATTGACATCGTCGTCGTTACCAGGCAAAATCTCTCCACCGTTGTCATCAACGGGGTTCACGTTATCTATTTCGTTGAATTCTTCGTCGACAGGAAGGTTGTCGAAAATCTGTGTTGCCATTTTTTCTTGCTCCTCCTGCTTTTGGGTGAGTTCAATATTTTGTGTTGGTTGTTGTGTTGCTGCAGGGGTCTTCAGATCATCGACGATGCTCTGGACCAATGCGGACCTCCCGTCGTTATTGATTTCAGTGATATTCAAATTCGAGAGATCCACACCCTTCCATTCGATCTCTGGATTCTCAGGGAAGACATCCTCGTCTTCAATGTCAACAACTTCCGCGAAGTCTCCCGACAAAAAGTCACCGAAATTGTGTGTGATATCTTGCATGATTGACTTCCCTTCCATTGCGCTAATTCTCTGATGGAACAATCTGTCGCGGTGATATTCAACCTTTTCGGATTTACTTTGCAAACTCTTTGGGTGTTTTTCAAGAGTATTGACAACTCCTTTCCGTCGCTTTGTTTTCTTTTGTGTGCCTTGGTCTTCCGGATTTTGCGATTGTTGTGTTTGTGACTGTAATTTCTCGGGAGTTTCATCGAAGCTGCTCAAGTCCCCGTCCTGTGTTTCGACGGCTTCAGCTTGTTTAATAGTGTCGACCACTGCAAACTGTTACTTAGTTACTTGTTATGTAAATAACTATTAAAAAAGACAAACAGTCTTTTTGTGGACTGCATCGACTCTCACAGAATAAATCTGAACACCAGCGTCGATAGCAAGTCCAGCCTTCACAAAATTGGCTGACCCTTTATTCTCTTCTGCATCCACTTCAATACAATCATTCATGTAATCAATTAAAGGCAACGTCCACACATTCTTTTCATTCACTTTGCGTTGATCACACATCAAATAACACTCCGCGTACATCTTTTTTATTTCTTCGTTATTCAAGTGTTTCTTTGTTGGGACTAATGACCGTCTTATAGACTGACGCGTCGGTGGAGCTTGAAATGACGACCGATTATGTGTTGGTTGGAGTAAAGATTCCTCATGGAGTGCCGAAGACTCCAACCCCGATATCGTTTGTGCATTTGGTCCTAATGAGACTCTCTTTCGTGACATATTACTCTTTTATACAGTTTTCTCTCTTTTTGGTTATGTTTTATCTAAATTGTTTACTGTATCATATTGTTTAATATATAATAGTTATCATTGACGTATTTTTATTTAATTTACAAATAACATTTTATATAATATTTTTATAATACATTAAAACTATTAACAAATAACAATCTAAATTGTAATAGTATTTCAAATTATAAATGATAATTTAAACAAATCATACAAATCTAATAAAATATATTATAATTTATAATACAAACAAATAATAGTTTAAAACCACAAATAAACTAAAAAATAAGAAGGTGAGGCGAACAAAATATATGTGTAGTTTTTAATTTAAAGTGAAGAACAGGAGACAACACACTTATTTACACGTCATTTCACAGTGATAATACAAGTCAAAGAACTGAATATCCAGAAAGATGTCAGACAACACTGAAATTGAGCGTAAGTTCCTTGTGAGCAACACCGACTTTTTAACGACGGAAAATGCAACACGACATATTGTTCAGGGCTATTTGTGCAACGAAGCAGAGAAGATCGTTCGAGTACGTGCCGATGAGAAAAGTGGATTCATTACGATCAAAGGGACGACAAAAGGAATAACACGAAAGGAATATGAATATCCCATTCCAAAATCGGACGCAGAAGAATTGATGTCGTTCTGTGCAGAGAAAATCGAGAAGACACGCCACTTGATTACTTACGAAGGACATACGTTTGAAGTCGACTTCTTTGAAGGGAAGAACAAAGGGTTGATAATGGCGGAGTTAGAATTGACGTCTGAAGATGAGAAGTTTGCAAAGCCAAGTTGGCTTGGAAAAGAAGTTTCGGATGATCCAAGATATTATAACGCAAATCTCATTAAGAAGCCATTCACCACTTGGTAATTGACACGCGTTTTGACAAGATTTGGTTATATTATTTTTACAAGTTTTATATCTTATTAATATATGGTTGACCATTTAAGTCGTGTTCTAGACACTATCTTAGCAGTTAACCCTTTACTCTTGGGAAAAACTTTGAACACTGACATATACCTGAAAGTGTCTTCGATGCTTCCCGAATGAATACCATTCGAGTTGAACGCCTTAAATAGTCGAAGGGTTTACTTATTTATCACATTCCTCTCTCTATAGTATATGTATAGTATAATAAACTATATTCTTCGTCTCTTGTTCTCATTCGTTGTATAGTTCAATTTATAATAAATAATTACTATACAAAGTAGTAAAAAATGCGTTGTAAAACAAAAAGTGACTTCCACGTCATCCCTAAAACTGCAAAGAACCTATAAGGCGATGAACGTCGTTGGAGCACCAGTCGTAGAATTTCCTTTGATTCGAACGGTCGAGCGGACGATTGGGAAAGTGTCTGAGAATTTGCGGAATTGGATGAACAAAAAGCGACAATTTGAGTTTGTCGATTTGATATTTGGGTTTCACCAAAACTTTATGCGTTTGTTGGTAATGACGCGATACCTCAAGTTTGACCACCCATACATCAAAAACGTGTTGGTTGGGAGTCAAGTCTTGTTACTCAACATTTTGTATATGAACTCGCTGGGGCAGGGCCTTGTCGACTTCTCGAACAATTACTCCATTTTCAGAGCATTGCCATATGAGATAGAAGCCGCACTTTCCATATTACTTCAAGGGAATTTCGAAAAACTCCCGCTGAAAGTCCAGGACATCATCAACTTCCAGAACTCCCTTGTCGACCCTCGGAATAACTTTAATAAGATCACACTGTTCATTCGTAAGTACTTCTACCTCCATTCAAATGAATATATATTCCAAAGTGTCGACATTATACTCGGAATGATTGTGTGTAAGGCAAAGAACTTCACGGTGTTTTTAACATTAAAGAATCCAAATGTAGTATATGAGGGGGGCAAAGTCGAGTTTTATGTCGTCTCCATTTACCCCAATGAAGAGGGAATTAACTGGAAACGAATGAACACACAACCAGTCGATTCCTTCGAATTCTTGCTTCAAGAGTTCAATCATTATGTCAACTCACTCATTTGCTCAGATTTGAGTGATCACAACAAGATTGAGAATGGGCAGAATGAGAAAATGGAAGAAGAAGGAAAAAACATGGAAGAAGAAGACGGATGGAAAGAAAAACTCGAAAGAATGCGCGCGTTTTTGGACAAATACGTCGTGTTCGTACACAAACACGTTCTCGTCAATAAGACCAGATCAAGTGTGACTATGGGGTTATACCCGTTCATGAATTCAATACTCTCAAATTCGGGAAATAAAATAGACGTGTATTATTGGGGACAAACAGTCGAAGTTTTAGACCAATGCCCCACCAGTTTCAGATTACTGACAAGACCAAAGTTGGTTATTCAATACACCCCATCAATGCACAAAATCGTTATTACACACGAACCTGAAATTGGAATGGAGTTGGTTTGTTTTATCGAGTTTCTATTGTTGCTTACCGTTACAAAGACACAAAATTGTTTGACCAAATGTTCATGTTTAAGTTGTGGATTTCTTGTAATAACATGTAGGATTCATCAGAAACACTCTTTTCGTTGATCAATAAAGTATCGACACGGACAGTCAAAATATTCCAAAACAACTTACTGTCATTCCCTTTGTCGTATTGCAAGACACCCAAAGTTCAAGTGTCTTTATTGACTGGAAAGTGCAGACTGTTTGACATCGGTCTTCCCCCATCACTGGTTCTTCATTTTGAAACAATGTTGGCTATCGCTATTACACATGAAAACGTACTAAAAACGACAATGGAAGATTTTGAAAAATGCAAAAAACTCGCGACAATACACAACGTGGCAATGGTCCATTCACAATTTTCTAAGCTGAAGGAACCAGAAGTTTATTATTTGAAAGCACAACCAGGAGAATCTCTGATCAGAGGATTTCCTCTTAATTTTTCTTTGAGCGAAGTTGCGTCCATTTATGTTGGAATTGAAAATGGACAAATTGTCATGAAATACATGATCAATTCGGAAGAGAGACAAAGCGCTGAATGTGATGAAAATGTACTGAAATCATTTGATGACCTTTACGACTTTTTCTTTTCTAAATTTGAGTCGATGTTACTGAAGGCTTACCAAACGACTTTCAAGCTGTTCTTCACAAAGTATTTCAAAAATCTGAAAGGAGAGCATTTTAACGTTATCGAAAGAGCAAACAATTCACTGTTGATAACACATGTTAACATTCCTTTTATTCATTCAATTTCGATTAAGGTGAATGCAGAGACTGTCACTCTATTTCTGTCGAGAAGTGGTATCAATCTTAATATTGAAAACTCTAAAAATGGGGTATACTCGTTTTCGATACCAAGAGTTTGTTATAACATATTACTTTTACAAAACATAATTAACATGTAGAAATACGTCGACGACGATATTAACACTCTGATGGGTATTTACGCCCCATTTTTACATGTACTTCTCTTTTCGTATTTATTCAATTTCAATAACGGAATGTCGCACAACGAGGCCGAGTACACAAACAATTCCGTGACTATTGCACATACATTGAGAATCAATTTTGTGTCAACAAATCCTGAGAAGATTTCAATGAAATGTGAGGTGCTCTATCCCAACACCCAAAGTTCGGTGACTGAGAAAATCAAAAAGAGAATCACTTTTTCGTTTATTTCGGATAGCTTGACAATCCCCCAATTTACTGAAATGAAAAACGCGATTAGAGGCTTAAATAGCCATGTGTTGGAAGGCGTTGTAAACCACCCAATGACAACACAAACTTCATACACTCTGGATATATACAACTTCTTCATTTACACGTTTTCCGTGGCGCCAGAAGGCGCAACACAAATCAATTTCAATTCATTCTACAGAGTTGTCCATCACTTTAACCGCAAAATATCATTTGACTACTACCCTTTCATAGGTCCTTTCACAGAAACAATTTTCAAGTCACTTCCATTAAAAAAGGATGCAGTCGACGAAACACATCTCGAGTTGGCGTTGAATCAATTTTATCGGGTGGCATACCTCTCTCTTGTCTCGCTGTTCTTTTCTTCCTCAAATTGCATGGCGGACCAAAACAACACTTTCAAGTCGGGACAATACAACGTCTCTGCTCCACTCACACTCACAAATGCACAGAAAGTCATTCAAATCGAGCCTATTCTCTCTATTAACGACAACACAACCAAAGTCATTGTGGACTATTTCAACACAAAGTTTAGCACTCCATTTAAAAGAGTTTCCAACGTAGCGTTATTTGTTCAAGATTACATCAATGTAGTACGACAAGACAGTGTGAAGGAGTTGTCTGTATTACCCTCCGCATTTTTTGTTTGTTTTTTGTTGCAAATCATATTATAAGTTAAGTGTTCTCACTCTTTTGAAATATTTGTAATGACCAAAAGGATATTCCTCAAACGTGTGGGTTTGTGTTTGATTTTCAAATCCGGAAACACAAGCCACAGACAAATTTGTTTGAAGTGTGCCTTACCTTTACCCTTTCTGGTGACAACCGGACTAAAATACTGTTATCGTACCGAGGTAGTGCCTGGTTTGTGATGAAAGTGACTCCTGCGTCGAACAAATTCAACTCGAACTTTGTCGAGTTTCTGCGTGGTGTTCTTGGGAAACAAGACAGAAACCGTGTCTCTGACGGGTTGGTCAAAATTATCGACGTTTTCAAAGCAAATTATCAGAAATTTTGATTGATCTTTATGTATTCTGATGCATTATTATTTTCCCAATATCATGATACCAGGCCACCTTTCAATGGTAAACAAACAATATTAAATCAATCACTTAGTGTTGTATAATTTCTTCGATCTCTTCATCTTGGCCTTGTTGATCATATCCCTTTCCTTCCCTGTTTTGATCTTTCTTAGTTCAAGGCCAGGGTTATTTTTATGTGTTATGTCGTGTATCGAAGCGTTGAAGAAGAGTTGACCATTTTTAGTCTTTGCCGATTGTTCGTGGAAAGTCAAAGCCTCTCTAATCCTGAAGGCTTCAGTCTTTGATACTTTATTGGAGTTCTCCCATTTGCGTTGCGATAGTGGAACAACAGCTTCCTCTTCTCTTCCACGTAAATTGTTCATTTGTTTCTCATTTTTGATTTTTAATAATTTTTCTTGGTATTCTCTGTAGTTCATATGTATTTTTTTTGGAGGTAACCCTAAAATCCCTCGATAATCCTTTTCGAGTAATTCATGTGAAAGACCTGTCGAATTTTCATACCCAATCTTCTTCACCATTTTCAATAGCTTTCCAAACTCATATGGCGTCTGCTCAAACTTCTCAGGCTTTTTCGCGTCGTGTTTTTCTTTCTCTTTTATCTTCTTTGATGACTTCTTTTGTATAAACTTCGGCATGTTATTTCTTTTTCTTTTTCTTTTTTTTTTGTTATACTATTAGTATACTATTAATATAATACACTTCAAAGTGGTTGTGTTTATTATTTTTATTAGTATTATATTATATAATTATAATTCCTTTAATAACAAAAAAATGTTATGAATACGAAGAAAAAATGTTATTTGATTGACAAAATTGGGGATAACTCACCAATTGTGAATTAAAGTGAGTTGAATATCACTAAAAATAAAAAGAGATAAACCCATAAAGTAAGAAACGCCGAAGTTCACAACTTTTCATAACTATTAATTAATTAGAAGAATATTAATAAAGAACTAGAAGTTGCTTAAAAGCATTGAACTCAGGGTGTGAAGTATTCCCTTAAACAAATAAAAAGGCGATTAACTGATAAACCCAATTAATGATGCAAAACACTTTGCAAGGGTTTAATACTAATTTCCAACAAACAAATACATTCACTCAACCATCTCAAAATATGATGGGAAACAATTCTTTGTTTGGCCAACAACAACAACAAAACACTCTCTTCACTTCACAGAACCTCTTTGGAGGTCAACAGCAACAACAACAAAATAACTTCGCAAATACTTTTAACCAACAAGGAAATCAAAATCTCTTTGGAACTCAACAACAGGGAAACACCTTCGGACAACAACAAAACGTCTTTGGAAATCAACAAACGACAAATTCGTTGTTTGGAAACACGCAAACTGGATTTGGGACGATGACACAAAACGCACAACAAACGGGAAATACCTTTGGAAGCAATTTTGGCGGTGCCAATTCTGCGTTCACTGCAAAACCGCAGTCTGGCCTTTCTGTGTTTGGTAACACGCAGCAGAACACTTTTGGACAACAACCGACGCAGCCAAATTCATTATTTGGAAATACACAACAGAACTTCTTTGGACAGCAACCACAAGGCAATTCGTTGTTTGGGAATACGCAGCAACAGATGGGGAGTACCAATACTAATATGATGGGCAATCAACAACAAAACAGTTTATTTGGAAGTACCTCCCTTCAACAAGGGGGGTTAGGGGGAAACTTATTTGGTCAACCAACACAGCAACAGCAAGGGACTGGGTTATCGGGGATGACACAGCCACAAATGGGCAATTCCTTATTTGGGAATACACCGTCGCAAATAGGGAGTAATCCTCTTATGGGGGGTCAACCACAAAATAACTTATTTGGAGGGAATACACAACAACAAAGTGGGTTAGGGGGGAATTTGTTTGGGAATAGTACTACAAGTTCTTTATTTGGGAATCAACAACAAAGCAATAACTTGTTTGGGAATGGGATGGGAGCATTGGGACAACAACAAAATTCGATGTTTGGGAATCAACAACAGAGCAATGGCTTGTTTGGGAATACTCCAGGATTGTATGGACAACAACAACTTGCGAACCAAATGCAACAACCACAACTTGTATTGCCTCCAACAACACCACTGAAGATCGTCGAAAAGGAACCAAAAGTCGACGACGCGCTTGATGAAATGAGAAGCCAAATCCAAAGCAAAGCACTCATTCTGGTCTTTAGAAAGACTATGCACGAAGCGCATCGCGATGACCCACCTCAAGAAGTCGCGAAAAAAATACCAACACGTGTTGTGAAAGTCGATGAGACTCAACCACATACAGAAGAAAAAGCAGTGATGGTGAAGACTGTTCCAGTCTTTAAATATGTACCACGCAGTCATAGAAAGGAGTATTATAGTGTTCCGAGTATGGAAGAATTACAGAAGATGGACGTCGAGAGTCTGAAACACCTCAAAAGTTTTGTATTTGGACGGACAGATGTTGGACAAATTGAGTGGAAGAACGTCGACATCACAGGAGTCAATTTTGATTGTGAAATCCAAATTGAAAGGGGAAACGCAATTGTCTACCCCACAGGAACTCTTAAACAAGAAGTTGGGAAGAAACTCAATACAGAAGCCACGCTGACTTATTACCATATGAATAAGGATGAAGAGTTCGACTCACAACTCGAACGGCTGAAAAAGGTCGGAGAAATCGTTCAACAAGACGAAATTAGAGGTGAAATAACAATTAAAGTGCAGCATTTCTAAATGATAGTATTGTGTTTATAGTTAATTTATTAGAAAAAATAGTATACTCATTATAATCTATTTATATAATATAATAAGTAATTAATAATTTACAAGAGTCAATCTAGTATATTTTTAATAAAAGATATGATAAAATAATTATAATAAAACAATAGTACTTAGAGTTATAATATTACTAGTACCAATAGTAATAATATAATAATAATTAACTACAATATTAATTAAAATTGAGGAGTGTATATGGTGACACAAAGAGGTTGAACGGAAAGAGGAGCCATCTTGTCCCACCCAAAAACGATTTTTAAAGGCTCATTATTACTAACAGGTTGGGAAAGAGCAACGATTCGAGTTATTTTCTCGAAACGGTCTGAATGGTTTTTTTCTGTGCTTTTACAAGAGAACTTCAGTTCAAAGGGAAAATTGTTTGTGTCTAATTCTATAGACCAATTTGAGTTTAAACAAACCATTGGTAATACTTTAGTTTCGTCAATATATTTAATTTGTGCAAAAATAGTTTCACCATAATTTGTTTTGTAATCAATATTGATTATTAAATGAACCATTACTCGATAGTTGGTCTAGTAAATTATATAAAGTTCAACTTTTATATGTGAATGATATTAAATAAACATCATTTAATTATAGTATATTATGTATAGTTTATTAATAATAATAATTATTATTATTGTTCTAAAACACGTAATCCCATAATTTATTTTTTATTTAAAACGATTTATATATAATTATGATTAATAGTTTATATTGTATGACATAAAGCAATGATTGTATACAGTTATCCCTGTCCGAACTACAATGTGGATTATAACGTTCTGAGCTTTGTCTTTTTATTATAGCTCATGGACTTATGTATTCTTTTTCATTAAATAAACTATTTTTTTCTATCTTAAATTGCATTATTTCAAATGTATTTTAATAAATTGTATAGTTTACTATAAATTATAATACTATTAATTAATTAAACAAATTGTGATTATTAACTTATTTTAATTTACTAAAAAAACACACAAAAAAATTTTAAAAAAAAATTATTATATACAATAGATTAATTATATTATAAACAATGGTAACTTTTACAATGGTATTGCCAATAAAAAAATGTGAAATCTCACAGAACTCAAAACAGAATGCAAGTCCTCTTTCTCTTTCTCTTTTCGTTCTTGCAATTTTCATACGCCCGTAAAAAAACTTTCAAAAACAGGCGCTCCATTCCACGAAATGTTTGTTGTATTGTAGTGTGCCATAATACTTTTGTCCTTCGTAACTTCACATAAAATCATTAAAACTTAAAAACAAAACCATTGGTTTTAGTTTTTTTAATTCACAAACTCACTCACACATACTGGTAGTAAATTTTTTATACATAATAGTAACAATGAAGGAAGAAATCTCCTTAGCTTTAAGTTCGTGCAAAGAGATATTGGAATTTGCCACAGGGAGTCCAACCGTTCCTGAGACGTTAGAGGATTCTGTTTTTGAACGTTTTCAGAAAACTCCAAAAACTGCACGTGAGCATTTGCTGGCGTACTTAGATCACCGGATAATTAGAGACATACCTGACAATGTCAGGGACCAAGCCTTAGGGGATCCTCAAGTCTCTCATTTTGTCGCGGACATCAATCTCAATATCGCTGTCAAAATGGGCGATCATTTGGGGCAAATAATTTCAGGGAACAACAACTTGAATGGCTTCCGCACTTCAAAAAACTGCATCAAAGCTGTCACTGACTACGTGGAAGGACTCAAACCGTCAATGTGGTACGACTCGGAGTTTGAAACGAAGTTTGAGGTGCCAAGTTTCCAACCCATGACCTTTTCATACGCACACATCAATATGGAGTCGAAACTTAGTAAGACTTTAAACTACCTTAAACAACCAATCGACGATATTGTGAAGTACAAGACACTCCTCCCACACGAAATGATTGAAGCGGGGAAATTATTATATCGAATGAAATATACTGGAAAGGGAATCAATGACTTGTTCCAAGCAGCGTACGATAACGGAGATCCAAATGGTTTGGTGTTGTCGGGAATATTAAAAGAGTATGGTATCGGTGTCGAGAAGAACAAGACGGCTGCCGCAGAAATGTTTTTTGAGGAAATTGAGGGGACACCAGTTGCAGTGGGTCGAATTGGATTGTTGTTTAATGAAAAAGACTCTCCGATTGGGTATTCACAAGAGGAAGTTGCAACTAAATTGGTAGAAGCCGCAAATAGAGGGCATGGAGATTCGATGTACCGTTTGATGTTATTGTTTAATGACCCACAATTTGTACAATATAACAAGACGAGAGCGATGGAATACCGAATGAAAATGTTGTTGAAAAGAGAGAACCACGGACATATGATGTATGAAACAGCTCGATTGATGTTCGACCCGAACAACAACATAACGTGCATGAGCGCGGCAACTTTCATCCAAAATTGTATTTTATCAACAAACATCGAAGTTTTGTTGTTGGACGAACTTGCTTCGAGATACTATGAGGAACAAATGTATCGGCCGGCATTGGTTTTGTATCAATTCCTTGGCGAACTCGGAATTATGAGTGCGCAACTGAACGCGGCGTTCATGTTAGAGGGTGGAATTGGATGTAGTAAAGTGGGGGAGGAACTTCGTTTCAAGAAAGCTCTTGATTTGTATAAAATGGTACATATAATGGAAAGAGAAACCATGTGGAAATACGTAATCGATGGCATTCCTGGCCTTCCCGGCACTGCGGCTGCTCGGATAGGAAATATGTATTTCGATGGGAAAGGGTTGGAAAGAGACATTGACCAAGCAATTGAATGGTATAAAATCGCGTACGAAGATCAACAGCCCGAGGCGATTTACAAACTTGGTTTGATTAAAACATACTATGACAAGGAAAACAAATACAAACTGAAAGAAGCAAGCGAGTACTTTATCGAGTTGATGAACATTAGAGGGTTCAGCACAATTGGATATTTAATGTTGATCAACTATTATTTGGATTATGCGAGTGCCGACACATTAATGGTTGCGCTTGGGCTGATTTTAGTTGCTCTTTGTACTATGTGTTGGAAGAAATATCAAGGTTTTTGATTGATCACAACCTTTTACATTGAACACATCGGTCACCTTTTGTTGTTTAATTAATTCATTTCTTCGTTGCGTTGGTTAATGAACATGCAAAGAATCAATTATGACCAACAGTTGTCAAACTGCAGTTTCGTTGAAGGATGTGCGGAGAGAAGTGGTCGCACAGTTTCGAACACACGTAGCAATACCCTTTCCCACACCCACCGACATTTGGATTACAGTACATCCAATTGCATCCAGATATTCGTTCGGCAGCCATTCCACAACTTGGACACAACGCTCCACCTCCATTTTTCATGTATTCCAAGAACATACTTTCACTTTTGTCGTTCAATTTCTTCCATTCTTTGTATTGGTCACAAGTATATCCGTCATGGTACTCGACTCGACAATTAAAACAATAAGATATGCCACATGTAGTGCACACAATTTTTGGGTGGTTTGGATCGCCAATGACTGGGGTTTCACATTTTGGGCAATACCTGGTGTTGGGTTGACCGTTCAGAAAGACTCGTTTGGAGTTTTCTCTGAATTGAAGGAACATTTTTTCATCTGCAAAAAGTTTATATTGAATCAAGTCACAGTAAGGAATGACTGAAGTACACCCCGCTTCCATACATTGTATCTTAGCTTTATTGTTTTCAATTTGTGCTTTGACAGTGTCTTTTACACATGACAAGCAAAATGAATGTCCACAAGGCTTGTAAATGTAAGTGTTCTCTGGTGTCATGTCTTCAAAGCACACTTCACATGTTTCTACTTGATTTGTAGGGTTTTGTATTTCTTTCAGTCTCTTGAAGTAGTCCAATATGATTGCAGCTTTTGTGTTATTGTCGCTGTCCAAATTCTCTTCTATTTTTCGTGTTGTTTGGATGTTGAGTAATTGAATTGCACTCTCGACATTCGACATTGATAAAAAGATTTGTTAGTTGGTGAATTTCAAATCAATAAAAAAAACTTTATGAATCATTGGAGGTGTTTTAAAGATTATTAGGAAATGATGTTTTCTATATTTATAATAAAAATTATTATTAGTAATTAATTATTGTAATATTTAAATAATTATAATACCAATTATTATTAGTAATATAATAGTATAATAGTATATAATAGATTATAATGAATACTATATCAATAGTAAAAATACTTAAAGTTGATTTTATGTGTTATTTTTTTTATAAAAACACTGACCACCAACTTGAAAAGTTCAAGTGATGGAAAACAAGGCAGTGAAGGTGTTTGACAATTTGTATTGGGTAGGTGCGTTAGACACCGATCTTCGAGTTTTTGACATTATTATGCACACCCCCTTTGGGACGTCGTACAATTCATTTTTATTAACGACGAGTGCTGGCAATATTTTGATAGAGACTGTTAAAGAACAGTTTGCACAGGATTGTATCACTCGTGTGAAGGATGTTATAGGGAATGGGAAATTGGATTACATTATTTGTAATCATACCGAACCGGACCATAGTGGGTCTCTTGTAGAAATACTTGAGGAGTATCCGGAGGCGATAGTAGTAGCTACTAAGCCTGCTTTAGCAAACATCGAGTACATTGGTCACATCAAAAAGACGACTCGCACGATCGACACGACAAAACAGCGTCAGTTGCGGGTCGGGGAGTACACTCTTAACTTCCACATTCAACCATTTTTGCATTGGCCCGATACGATGATGACAGTCATCCAAGAGATGAAAGTTGTTCTGCCGTGTGATGTCTTTGGGGCGCATTGCGCTGATTCACGAATCTTCAACGACATGATGGAAGACCGAATCAAAGATTTAGATGAAGCGTACAAGCACTACTTTGACTGTATTTTTGGGCCGTACAAATCTTTTGTGTTGAAAGGGATTGAAATGATGGAGACCAAATTTGGATTTCCCGTCGAAGAGATACGGGCAATTTGTTGTTCGCATGGCCCCGTCTTACGAACACATATCAAAGAGAATATCGAACGGTACAGACAGTGGGCGCAACCCCCTCTATTAAAAGATCAAGTAGTTATTGCGTATGGGAGTGCGTATGGATATACTGAAATGATGGCGAAGAAAATTAGTGAAGGTGTCGAGAGAGCCGGAGCGAGTGTTAAAATGCATAATATAGTGACATCGAGTGTAGAAGAAGTCTTGAAGGATTTTGAAGAGTCGAAAGGGATGTTATTAGGAACGCCGACATTGGTGGGTGAAGCGTTACCGCCCATGTATATCATCTTGGCTCATTTGAACCCAATAGTCCACTGTTCGAGATACGTCCAATGCTTTGGATCATATGGATGGAGTTGTGAGGGAGTGACCAATTTAGAGATGCGAATCAATCAATTGACTGTTCGTCGCCCGGTCAAACCGATTGCATTTCGATTCAAACCGACAGAAGAGAACTTGAAAGAGTGTGAGGAATGGGGATATCAATTTGGGAATGCACTAGTGAAAGGGTTGTAAGTCACTTCTTCTTCATTTGAATAAGACAAAGGAATAACAGAATACACACAAGAAGATAATTAAATTAAATTAACAGACGTCTTGTTGATTCAAGAGCAAGTCATATTGCATCCCCCATAGTTTCACATCTTCTATGGAACATATTGTCCCATCAGGAAAGGTTAAGGCTATCGTCTTCAAAAAGGGAGTCGTCTTGCGCCCGACTTTTTCTTTCAATTTCTTAAAGTCTAAAGTATAACCTAATGAGTCTAAAATGCATATAAAGGCCCCATTCACTTCAGCTTCTTTGGACCGTTGAATCCGTTTCTGGGACTTGTCCTTCTCAGAAGACTTCTGACAGACTCCAATGTCTACTAACCACTTTTCTCCAATGGAACATAAGCCATCAACGTCGAGAGTAATTCCATTCAACTCCATTGAATAAGGTATCCTAAATTTAATCGTCTTTTTCGACTTCTTTTCTTTCAAATAATAGAAGGTGGCATGGTGTTGTGTGACTAATAAATACTGTAACCCATCGATAATTTGAGATTCCTCATTCCTTCCTATTATCTTGCGCTCGCGTAAGTAACTCAGTCGCTTGGCTGGTGTCTTGTATTGTCGCTGAGACTCAAGAGACGTGTTTCGAGTGAAATCGGAAGGAAGGGGTGGTTTATTACAAGTCTTTGAAAACGTGTCTGATGTTGTGTGGAGGTTGAAGGGATACGGTTGCCGCTCTCTTAGTGACTGAGAGCTCGAAAATTCACTCTCCGTGTCACTCATAGACAAAGGGCTTGAAGGTTGAATTGAGATATTAGTCGCAGACATCGTAAAGATGAAAGATTCGAGTTTGCCAAGACACACAAATTCATATTAAAAGCTTAGGTATATAACCTTTTTATTATAGTTAATAGCTTGGATTGATTTGTCAATACGGATTGTTTCTATTAATAGTGTTGATTTGAGTTTCTTGTTCAAAACTTATCCATTGTAATCAAGTTAATTTGGTTCAAATTGTTTGTCTTTAATTGATAAAATGGGTTATTGGTGCTATTTTGTTTCAAGTTTAGCAGGAAATGACTCCACTTGGTTAATTCGAGAGAGCGTTGGCTTGTTGGTAGTAAAAAATCCACCAAAAAGTGGACAACTGGAAATGCCTAAAAAAAAAGATGTGATAATTACAATATGAATAATTGACCATTGAAAAGCAACACGTCGTTGTGTGTGAATGAATTCTATAGTTTTAATCAAATAATGGTATTGTTTAGCCGAAGTTGTCAACACTCAAATTTAATAAGCAAAAAAATGAATTCAAAGCATTTTTGGGATTATAATGATGTGTTTTTAATATATAAAAACCCAAAAATGTATAAAAAATCCACAGTTTTTGTTTTGTTTTCCATTTGTGTGCCTAATTTTTGTATGAAAAACCCGGGAAATAATCCACAATAAGAGTTCATTGATATTACCAAAAATAAAAATCCATGTGGCAGTTATTTTTTAATCTGGAAATACACATTCACATTGTTTATTACTAGTTTATTCATTTATATATTACCAATAAAGAGTAATTGTTATTTGTTATCAATGTGTGCAATTGATTATAATAAATCATATTATAACTTAATAATTTTGAGAAGGGCAATTTCTTCGACTAAATATTTTATTTTTATGATTATTTGTTAAGAACAATTCAATGATTTTGGTAAAAAAGAAATCAGAAAATAATTAAAAAAGAACTCAAATGGTTAATAAACCGGATTATTGCTAATCCCAAATTAAAAATAATTATTTCAACAAAATAACTTTTTTAATTTTGTTTTCTATTTTTTTTTCTTTGTAAATAGTTTTAGATCATAAATATTAACAACAATAAACTTTTTTATATTTTATTTTTACTAATATTATAATATAATATATAAAATAAATATTAATAGTATTTAATATTATAGTAAAAAGAACAATTAAAAGATATTCAAGTTAAGCAATTGGATAGTAAGCCTCTTTAAGGATCTTCTCCATATCGACGACCATTGGAATTCTTGGGTTGCATGGTGAGCACTGATCCTCGAAAGCGAGAAGTGCCATTTCTTTAACGTGTGACATCCAAACATCTTCAGCGATACCAGCCTGCTTGAACCCAGTGATTGTCTCGGTGTCTTTCAACAACTTTTCACAAGCCTTTGCAAAGACCTCAACACCCTCAGTTGCAGTCTCGGCTTTCAACCCGACCAGTTGTGCAAGTTGTTGATATCTCTGGTCTGCAACATAAATGCTGTACTTTGGCCACATCGCCAACTTTCTTGGGACAACACCATTGTATCTGATAACATGTGGCAATAAGACTGCAACACATCTGCCATGTGGGAGATGGAAAGCAGCTCCAACTTTGTGAGCCATTGAGTGAACAATCCCAAGGAATGCGGAAGCAAAGGCCATCCCAGCAATGGTAGCTGCGTTGTGCATCTTCTCTCGTGCAACCAAATCCCCGTTGTATGACTTGACCAAGTTGTCGAAGACCAATTTGACTGCTTCTTTAGCAAGACCGTCTGTGTATTCATTTGCCATAACTGAGACATAAGCTTCAACTGCATGGACCAACACATCTATACCACAGTCTGCTATAGCTCTCTTTGGTAATGAGACACAGAACATTGGGTCAATGATAGCAACTGATGGAGTCAACGAGTAATCGGCAAGTGGATACTTCTTGCCAGTCTCCGTGTCTGAGATGACAGCAAATGGAGTGACTTCAGAGCCAGTCCCTGATGTAGTTGGAATGCAAATGAGTCTTGCCTTCTTGCCCATTGTTGGGAATTTGAATGCTCTCTTTCTCAAGTCCAAGAACTTCTGCTTCATGCTGAAGAAGTCAGCTTCAGGGTGTTCGTACAACAACCACATGATCTTAGCCGCATCCATTGCACTTCCACCACCAATGGCAATGATGTTATCTGGACTGAATGTGTTCATCACAGCAAGTCCCTTTCTGACTGTTTGAATAGAGGGATCTGGTTCGACATCGATGAAGATTTCAATTTCAACGTCATTTTGTCTTCTTTTCAAGACGTCCATCACTCTGTCGACATAGCCAAGCTTGTACATCATTCTATCTGAGACGATGAAGATCTTTGAAAGCTCCTTGAGCTCTTTCAAGTATCTGATCGCGTGTGGCTCGAAGAAGATCTTTGGTGGGACTCTGAACCACTGGAGGTTTGTTCTTCTTTCAGCAAGTCTCTTGATGTTCAACAAGTTGTGGTATGTGACATTGGCACTGACGGAGTTTCCACCATAAGACCCACATCCAAGTGTGAATGATGGATCAATGTAGTTGTATATTCCTCCAATTCCACCTTGTGATGATGGGACGTTGTGGAGAATTCTGCACGCCTTCATTCTCAATGCGTACTGCTCTACAACCTTCAAGTCGCTTGAGTGAATTGCAGCTGAATGTCCAAGACCGCCAAACTCAAGCATAGCCTCGGCTTTGTCAAATCCATCGGCTGTGTTTTCGGCCTTCAAAATAGCAAGAATGGGTGACAACTTCTCCTTTGTGAGGGGCTCTTTCACACCAACTTCTTTGCACTCAGCACAGATAATTGATGTCTCATCGGGAATTGTAAATCCAGCGTTCTCAGCAAACCACTTTGGTGACATTCCAGGACATTTTGGGTTGAGTCTAGCATTGGCAGAGTCTGTAGAATACCCATTGACACCAAACATGAACTTCTCGAGTTTTGCCTTCTCTTCATCGTTCACAAAGTAAGCGTGGAGTCTCTTGAATTCGGCAACAGCATCGCCATAGATTTCTTTGTCGATGATGGCGGCTTGTTCTGAAGCGCAGATCATTCCATTATCAAATGACTTTGAAAGGACGACATCATTGATGGCTTGTTTCAAATTGCACGACTTCTCAATGTATGATGGGACATTTCCAGGTCCAACTCCAAGGGCTGGCTTTCCAGACGAATAAGCGGCCTTCACCATTGCTCCTCCACCAGTTGCAAGAATAGTAGCAATACCAGCATGATTCATCAATTTGTTAGACGCTTCAATACCACCAAACTCAATCCATTGAATGCAGTTCTTTGGTGCACCCGCCTCAATGGCAGCATCCCTGACAATAGTAGCTGCTGCAATAGAGCATTTCAAAGCAGATGGATGGAATGAGAAAATGATTGGGTTTCTTGTCTTAATTGATATAAGTGACTTGAAGATGGCAGTTGATGTTGGGTTGGTGACTGGAGTGACTCCACAGATCACACCGACTGGTTCTGCTATTTCAGTGATGCCATATAATGGGTCTTCATGAACAATACCAACAGTCTTTGCATGTCTCATCTCGTGTGTGACGTGTTCACAGGCAAAGATGTTCTTTGTTGCTTTGTCTTCCATCACACCTCTTCCTGTCTCGTCGACTGCCAACTGTGCCAAGTAACAGTGCTTGTCAAGTGCAGCAACAGACGCCTTCTTGACTATGAAGTCGATCTTCTCTTGTGTGAATTCGGGTTGCAAATACTCTTTGAGCGCAACTTGTGCATTAGCAACTAATGTGTTGATGTGTTCATCTACAGACATTTTTTGCTCAGTTGCCATTCTTTGAATGAAACACTTAGTTCTTTCCATGATAAAATTGTATAGCCACGTGTGTACCTAATTGCATTCCACTTGAAATGAGAAGATGCATCGCTCGATGTGTATTTTACAAGAACATAAACCGAATAACAACAATATTTATTATTCAAAAGTGTAGAAATGAAAAACATTTTAATTGCTCTTTAAAATTTTGGGGACTTTCCATTAATTATAACATTATCAACCCAAAATTACACATTATAATTGTTACACCACCTCATATTATAAAAGTATAAAAACGTACGAAGTTTTACAAAAACAGTTCGAATAATCTTTAAGAAAAATCTTGTGAAATATTTTAATAACAAAAACAGTTTAATTATTTCTGGTAAGTACTCGTTCTTATTATTATTATACTTTGTACCATTATATATTAATACAGTGGTATTATAATTATTTTGAAATTTCCAACAATTTTTTTATATTTAAATTGTGTATTGAAATAGTTTTGTTTGCCATTTAATTATTTTATTTTTAAAATGACTTATATTATAAACTTAAAAAAAACTATATATTTAACTTGAAAAAAAAGCCGACGCAATTTTCTTATTGTGGTGTTATATCACATATTATTGTTAGAGTCATTCTAGCTCTCTTTTTAAAGTGTCTTTTCACAATAATTCAATTGAATCCTTTCCCATTATTGGTTGTGAATATCCTTGTCATTTCTTTTTCATTTTTGTGTGTATTTCAATATCTTTTATTAATATAATTATAATATCAAATATTATACTAAAAACAATAATAATTAGAATGTATAATTTAAAAACTAAACCTTATTAGTTTATTTTAGAATAATCAATGTAATTCTAATTTATAATTAAAATGAAATTATAACAATACAGTAAAAAAAATATACAAATTATATTAAATAAATAGTTTCAACATTAGTATCTTAATTCTTATATATTTATAGTTATTATAGTAAATTTAATTATTACTTATTTATTTAAATTAATGATATGATTAATTAATAAAAAGCTATATAATATTAACACCGAATAACCTTTGATTTAATTCTTCTTCTCTTCAGCGAGGAACTTAGCGAATCTGTCCATTGGTGAGAGTTGGTTGACTGGAGCTCTCCACAAGTCCTTTGTCTGGAAAGCATATGATTGTCTGACGGCGTCATAAGTAGCCTTGACGAAGTTACCGAGAGTCTTGGTGTGACCGTTGGATTGGGTGAAGACATCCTCAATACCAGCAAGGACCAAGAACTTTCTTGGAGTGACGGAAGCGACGATTCCGGAACCTCTTGGAGCTGGGACGAGTCTGATTCTGACTGAACCACAAGCACCAGTGAGCTTGCATGGGACGGTGTGGACGGTACCGATGGTAGCACCCCAATATCCTCTTCTGACTGGGATGATTGAGAGTTTAGCTTGGATCATAGCACCCTTAATAGCACTAGCAACTTCCTTAGCGCATTTGACACCCAATCCGACGTGACCTTTTCCGTCTCCAATGGCAATATAGGCTTTCAAACGGGTTCTCTGACCGGCAGCAGTTTGTTTCTGGACTGATTGCATGCACATCATTTCCTCCTTAAGATCTTGGAGAAGGGTGTCAACAATTTGGTATTCCTTAATCTTCAAACCAAACTCGAAGATCTGGTCAATGGTTTTCACCTTGCCATCCTTCACCAAACGGCCAAGCTTGGTGACTGGAACCCACTCACCTGAGCCTTCCTTTCTGGCTCCTCTTCCTCTTGGGGCTCCACGTCCTCCTCTTCTGTTGCCAAATCCTCTCTTCTCTCCTCTTTGTTCTCCTCTTTCTCTTCTTGGGGCAGCAGCGACGGCTGGTGCAGTAACTTCAGCAGCTGGGGCTTCTTTCTTGGCGTCCATTTGGTGTTTTTCAGTTTCCCCAATTCCCTTTAATTGGAACAGGGTTTACTCGACTCTTTATCATTGGGTCAATTCTTATTAGTTAATTTTAATTTATTTTATTATTTCATTTTTAGTAAATGTTATTAACAATTTTACTATTATAATAATTCACTTTTATTGATTATAATTGTTATAACTATTTGAAATAGAATTCTAATATCAAATTCATCAACAAGAATTATGAAAACACAGAACCTTACAACTTTGAGAGGGATCTCCTAAGACAAAAATCTCTCTTGCACTCCTCGGACGCAACTTGTATCCTGTTCTCAAACATCCTTTTTCTCTGCATAAAGACAGTGCACTCGGAAGACTTGTCGTCAACTGGACAGACATTTTGCTTCGGAGCTCCTTTGATCAAACTGAGGCGGTCCTCTTTGTTCACACAAACCTTCACCTTCCTTTGGTCTGTTGGGTGGACAACGTTTGGAGGGAGTGGAGACATTTTAAATAATGGACTGACAACTAAGTCATCTTTCCGAGTAAAGTCATATACATTTTGTGGTTGAGCACTTGGTAATGTTTGTTGTGGAGTACTTCTTGGTGAAATATTAGCATCATTTCCAATTTCGTTTTGAATGAGTGCGTAGAGGTCTTTTGTTTTCATTGTCACAGCGGGTGATGGTGTTTTTGTTGGGTAATTCACCTCTGTTTTCACTTCTTGTAATGGTTGAGCGGTTACAATTTGTATTTCAAATTGTTGGACAAAAGGTTTAGGTGTTTGTGTGGTTGATATCTTCGGTGTTACAAATGTTGGTGTGGGGTTTGGTGTTAAAACTTCTTTCTCACTTTTAGTCGTTCCTTGTTCAATTTGTTCTGTCAACTTCTCCTCAGAACTCTCGCCAACAAAGTCGAAGAAGACATTGTTCTGTTGGATTGGTCGAGGGGAGACAAGTAGTTCTTCAATTTTACTATCCATTCTTTTTCTTCCTTTTGTTTTGATTCCCAACTGCTCATCAACACTTTTCTGACGTTTTCTTCGTTTCGTCTTCTTCTCGTTTTGTGTCGAAAATTCCAAGTTGCCAATGACAGTGATGTCCATCTTTTTTTCATCGCCTTTAATTTCATTGCACATTCGCTGTCCCGTCACTTTGAAGAAGCAAGCGTCGCACACTCGCTCGATATCATTCTTCGGTGGCAGTGGAATCTTTCCTTTGCTACAGTTCGCACAAACACATTTCGAGCACATCGCACAGTGCCTCTTTCTATTCCCCATCGAAAAAATGCCACCACACAAAACACATGTCTTGCACTCGTTCTTTTTGTACACCGACTTCGTGATGATTTGTTCCCCCGCAAATAACTTTCTCTGTTCGTTCGAGCACCTGTTGATCGCATCCACCCACTTCTTCTTTTCCTCCGTGCTATCGCAAATCACTGTAAAACTCTTGACGTCGTTTTTAATAGAAAACGCGTTTTGATATCTTATATCGTCCTCGAGGACGACGTGTCGATTATAGAACCATTCGCTGACGGTGATGTGTTGGTTTCCGACTCCATAGATCATAACATCGGTGAACAAGTAAAAGAATCTATTTTTGTTCCCGGATCGACACACTTTGACAAGCATCCCCTCTTTCACCAATTCTCTTGGGACATCGTTCAAGTCCAAGTCGTCAAGTCCTTCAATCAGTCGACTCACTTTATACACTGCTGACTTCTTTTCAGTCTCTTTCGTTCTGTCGTTGACCTCTTTTGCGACGTTTTGTATCATTTCAAACGCCGATTTAATATTCATATAATCCTCGTGCGTGTTCTCTGTATTTTTCAAGAGTTCCTGGAGCAAGAGTTTGTATCTTGGGAGTCTTTGTACAGGCATAATAAGATAACTTCTCAAGTCCAAGTTTTCCGTCGTTTTAGATATGTCCTGGATCAACTTAAAGAACTTTTCGTTTTTATCGTGTGTCGCGAGGATTTCGACTGTTGAGTTGTAGTGAGAAATATATAGAAAATAGACTTTAAAGAATGGAGTGAACATTTTAAAAGTCGTTCCTATCTTCTTGTCGAGTGTCCCATTCTCTTTATAGCTCTTAAGTGTCGAATAGAACTTTTCATTGATTTGGAGGATCTCGTCGTAGTGCTCGAAAAGAGTGTCGATGTCTTCTTGTTTAATCAAACTCAAGTTGGCCTGTAACTTCGGTTTATAGACTTCGAGACATACATGCATCTTAGTAATGTACGATTCCTCGGTTGCATAAATTTCGTTGACTATAGCCTGCCGTTGGTCAACCATACGACAAAGATGGAATGCCTTTAGTAGTTGCCATCCTTTTTTTTATTGCATTCCATTCCACAACAACTTTTCAAATCGTTTTGACAACCTTTGATGTTTCATTCGTTTCGGGTGATTTCCCTTTCTGTATTTTGCCAGAATGGTGTGATTTTTGAATGATTTGGTTCAAAAAAACTAGAAGTGTTAGTTTAGGTATTGTTTTTTTTCTCCAAATATCGTTTTTGTTGGAATAGATGCAAATGGTATTGTGATATAAATAAGAGCAAAAAATCAAGTTTGGTGGATAAGTTTTTGTTTTTTTCTATTGTGAAAATAATAACAAAGAAATTGTTTGTTTGGCAATTAATGGTTTGTTTTGTCTGCTGTTTCAAACGTTTACAAACTATTTTTTACTTTGTGTCATTTTTTTTAATAAAAAAAACTGGTTTTAAATGGTTCTTTTTCGAGCAAAAAAACGATAACTAAGGGAAGTATCTCACCAAAAAAAAAGGTTTTTGTCGTAAATAATAATTTAACTTAAAAACATGATTGTAAAACTGTTTTTCATTTTTCTATTTTGTAATAATAAATATATTTTTATTATTATATTTTAATAGTTTGTTTGTGTTAGAATCGTCATAGATTATAGTTATAATATTTTTTTTTGTTTTCATGGGTGTTATAGTTTAATAATAGTTTTATATAGTAATGAAAGTCAATTTCCATTGTAATTGGCAAAAAAAAACATAAAGATAGTTAAAATGAAAAAAAAACTACATAATTATAAGTATATTATAAAAAAATAAATCATATTTTAAAATTATAACAACATGACGTAATATTATTGTTTTTTTATAAATACACTTGTTTAATTATAATATAATTTACTATTATTTTAATAGTAAATTTATTGAATTACAAACAAATGTTAAAAATAATTCAAAATCGAATTATAACATATTAACATTTGATTTAAAAATGAATTCAAATTTATTAGATACTTACCATAATAAGTAGAATGTAAATTATTAAATTGATAAAATGACAAACATGATTGATAATGACCAGAAAATAGAGTAATAAAAGAGTTTAAAATTATGGATAAATAATATAGTTATTATTGGAAAATACGAAAAAACGACTTGGAACTTATAAATTCCAGTATTTTTCAATGATCAAATGTGACCATTACTACGAAGCTACCAATCCTTACACCTTTCCGTTTGGTGTTTTGTGTCAACCACTGGAATGTCAACCACCATTTCCGTGTTCAGAGACAGTTCAGAAATTACCTCTTTCGTGTCGGGTATGCCATTGTTATAACAACTGTTACAACCTCCAAATGAGTGGCGAGTTTCTTTGTTGTGTTTGTGGTGCTATCAATCAATCAATGTCCTCTCCTAAATACACATCAAACTCCACAGTCGTCTCAGAGTACTTGTATCAATCGTCGGGATACTACTCGATTCCTTCTAAACTCCCCGCACCACACTCAACAGAAATTCTCTTCTTTGTCCTATTCAATGTCAGGAAGGAGAAGATCTCGTCAGTGCTCACGACCAGTTTAACAAATTTATCGGCTAAAATCACGAAAAAAAAAAGTTACCAACAAAATTGTGTTTATTTGTTCAGTGCGAAAGTTCGTATATGGTGACTGTGACTCGGGGAGAACAAGTTCATCTTTTACAAGTCCCACTTGATTTAACAAATGAAAATTTCGATTTTTCAGATTACGTCAACCCAAGTACCCTTGGGTTTTGTCCAGTTGGCATCGACGCAGACATTTCAATGCTTTCAAAGTCGTTTAGCGGAGAGATGAAACAAACAAACAACTATTCAGACTTACTTGAAATACTTAATCAAATCAATTCATTTTCGAAGAGTGGAGTAGATGCTCGTGTCTGTGTTTTAACAGAAAATGTCGTGTCTTCCGAAATTTCGTTTGTTACGGAGTCTAATTTTTCATATCCGACGCACTTCGTGTTATTCGCAAATGAGATCGGGGCGATCAAACAAATATCGAAAATAGTTGAACAGACTGGGGGATCATTTCATCAGTGGAACTATGAAAATGTATATCAAGTCTTTTTAAAGGACCTGTTTGATAGACTGTTGTGTGTGCGAACGCGGGGAGGGAAGAGGTTGGTGGTAGTCAAACATGAAACGGTCACGCCAGAATTTACTGACGAACAGTATAATACAGTGAACGCAATGCCAAGTTCAACTCCATTTACACATTTCTATTTTAAACTCAAATTTGGGAAGTTGTATAACTTGAACTATTTCCAGGTGATAATTGAAGACGTACTCCTCTGTGGCGGAGAGGCTATTCCATACACCCGAATCGAAACTGTCAAAGTTGGTTCAACGAAAGACACCCTCAGGTTCTTCGACAATTATCCACTTTCACTTGCACTGAATGCTGTGCTCCACCTCCAGCACGAAGAAGCAACACACGTCATTCAAAATGCAATTAAATACAATGCTGTTTGTAAGCAGCACACAGTCGTTAAAGAGTTGAACAGAGTCCTTCCAGTAATTATCAACAGTGGTTTGTATGCAAAAGAAGGGACACTCTCTGAAATGTCGAGGTACTTGTTGCTTCGACATTCGGAACTCTACGGGATGGATGTGTTCTTTCCTAAGATGTTGGTCTTCACATCTCTCTGTTCTGTTGTAGAGAAGCAAGACAAAAAGAGTTTGGAGGAACTCAAGAAGATGGACGCTGCTGTTGTTCTGTTTCCGTGCCAACGTGTTCTATTAGTGATATACAGTAAGAGGATTGTTAAGCCAGGAATTCCACTTCGAGACAATTTGAAGAAGGTCACACACCTTCTAGCAGACATCTACAAGTTCAATAAATTTGACCAACGAAGACCCCAGCGATACGTTGTGTGCGACTTCTTAATTGACGACCCAGCGCTGAGAATGTACATTCAATGATTCTATGTTGTATTTATGTTTGTACATTCGAATGAAAAGGTTTCTATCGTCATGAATAGTAAAATGAATAATAAAAGTATTAAAAGGGAATCCAGTAGTCTTGAAGGAAGAAACCCTACTTGGAGCTGAAACTCTAAATTTTTTGAGCACGATGGTTTGTTAAGTTATCCAGGTATCACATAAGACAGAAAGACTAATCCGTAGGCCTTTGTAACTTCAGAATCCGATTTCCAACACATGCTTCGTGTTTGCAACACAAATCTCGACGGTAAGAAAAAAGTCCCATACGCGTTGACTGGGATTAAGGGGTGCGGAAGACGTTTTGCTTTCCTTGTCTGCAAGCGTGCTGGTATCGATGTGAACAGACGTGCCGGCCTTTTGAAGGCTGATGAAGTCGACAAAGTCGTCGACATCTTGACCAACCCATTGAACTACAAAATCCCCGTCTGGTTCTTGAACAGACAAAAAGACATTAAGGACGGAAAGAACTGTCAACTCATTGCTAACGCCGTCGAGACTAGATTGAGAGAAGACATTGAAGCACTCAAAAAAATGAGAGCTCACAGAGGTCTTAGACACTACTGGGGTTTGAGAGTCAGAGGTCAACATACCAAGACTACTGGAAGAAGAGGAAGAACCGTCGGTGTCTCCAGAACCAAAGCTCCTTCCGCTTAATCAAGCTTTTTGTGATGTGGGTTTGGGTTGGAACTATTCATTATCCTATTTTTTACTATAACTCTCTAATTGTTGTAGTCTAATAGCTTTACTCTAACTTTTATACTATTCCAATTGAATTGTTATTAATATGGTATATTTTATAATATATATACTATAATTTTAATACCCATTTATATCAACTGGCGTGGCGTGTTGTGGCACAAAGTGAGTAAAAGTCATAGGAACTGGAAAGACTATTATGTTCCTACTCATTGTGGTACTCATTACATCCACTTTTGCTATCACTCCAAGTCAAGAGAAACTGCTCGACGAAATGAAAGAGACCCAAAGGCTCGAAGTAGACACATTGGCAGACAAACTGGCAACAAAACAAACAACCGCCGTTGTCCAACACATCCCACGCCCTTATTCAACATATTTCCAAAAGATGATGAACACTGAAAACGATGACAAACCACTTAACATCCAGTCACGGTACTCGAAACCTATCAAACATTCCCATAAAAAGGTCGGACATGTTCTCGACGAGATAGGAGGAAGTATCCATGGAAGACATGGCTTTGACTACGCTCATACCAGAGATGTGAAAACAAAACACGGCCGCTCTTATTCAAAGAGTTCCGTCAGTTATTATACTTCCGATCCTTCAAACAAGAACTTTGCAAATCAATTCTTCCAAAACAAAGACGGCGATCTTTGGTTTTAATTTATTTCTCTGTGTCTGGTCGGTCATTCCCAATGCAAACCAACTGGTTGTATGCACTCAATTATTCTTTGGTTCGACAGCAAGCTCTTCGACGTGCATGTCTGTATCCCCTTCCACTTTCTTTTCTAACTTTGCCGGTTCTATTGGAATGGAGGGAACTTGTTCGATACTCTTCTTCGGCTCAATCGTGATGCTCTTCTCGTTCTCTTCCACCTTCTTTGTAACAAAACCGGGTTCTTTCAAAATATCTTCATTCGACTTTTCTGTTTGCAGTAAGAGTGGTGTCTTCTCTCCTTTACTTTCTTTGGGTGTTTCAAGTTTCTCTTTGACAAGTTGTATATTTGCGACGGGTGTTGGAGTCACTGTTTGTTGTTTGGTATTACCTGCGTCGACATTCTTCTCAACTTCCATTAAAGGTGTTGAAAGATCGACCTGAGGTGTAATTGGTTCCATTTCCATTTTGTCAAGTTGAGTGATGTTTGTGTTGGCTTCCTTCTCTTTGGTGTTTGAAACAACTGTACTTTGGAAGAGTTTGCTCTCAATTTCCATCTTCTTGGTCTCCTCCTTCTCTTTCTCACTTGAACTCCCATCTTCAATAACGGTTGGCTCTTTCCTCGCATTTGTCAAATAAAAGCCAACAACAGCTTCACATCGCTTCGTCACAAATTCCATTCGTTCACGCTCGTCCGTGTACCCCAATTTACTCAACATGAACTTGATGACCAAATTCTTGAGCCAAAGCCCAGGACATTCAAGCCCATACCTCTTCACTTCCATTAACAAAACTACATCCGTCGCTCCTCCCCATTCACTCTCGGTGGGATACTCGGGGCCTTCCTTCCCATCTTCCATCTCTTTCAACGCAAGCAAGACACTCGCATACTTCTCGCTATTCTCTCGGATCTTCTTAGAGAAATGAACACCTTCAAACCCAATTTCTTTCACTTGTCTCTGTGCTTTTGTCGAAAATTGTTGGAAGACACCCTTCGGCCAATTCTTCTTTTCAAGTCCATACCTCAACATCATGCAAGTCATGCGCTGAGCTACAGCAACGGCTTCCTCCTTTTCAATCTTCTTTTGGTACATCTTTTGGAGCTCTGTGGTGACCCCCTTTGTGTCTTCGTCGACGACATATTTCATGTTGTCGTCATTCAAATCAAACACACGAATGTCTTCATCTTTCACTAAGTCACTAATCCCTCTTTTCCGGTCGTCCTTCTTCACACTCTCACACTCCATTTTCTTCGCAGTGTCGTCGTTGATTTCTAAGTACTCGATGTTCTTCATACCACTCTTCGTCTTCACTATTTTCATCGACTTCTTCTCGCGATACAAACGGTTCTTCTCTTCTTGTTTGATGCGCTCCTCTTCATTCACGCGTTGTTGCTCCTCCGCGCGCTTCTTTTCTTCTTCCATCAGTGCCTCCAAATTCTCACGTTTCATCGTCTCAAATTTCTCGACATCTTCTTTGGACCCAGTTCGGAGGACTACAAGCTTCTCGTTAGTCTCAGCAATCTCTTTGTTCAAATTCTCGCCCAATATCTTCTTCGTTTGTAACACGGAGAATCTTGCCGTCGAGGACTTGTCGTGCAACGAGAAAATGCCGTCGCCGCATCGCATCATCGCCGCATTGTCTTCGTCGATCGTATCTTCAAACACAAAGTACACAATTTTAAGGTCTTTCGCCATCCCAAGTCGCCACTTCCAGCAGATCTCTTCGACCTTTCGAGTGGTGTAGTCGTTATCCAACATGATGAGACAGTCCGCTTCAGACAAATCGACTCCTTCATTATACGCGTTAGAGTCGACACACAACATCGTCGCTTTCTTATTCACAAATTCAGACGCTTGTTGGATGTTCTCTTTCATCGAATTTGACCACGAAACGTATTTGCATTGCATCACCTTTTTAATGTAGTCCAGTGCGGCTGCTATCGGACTCATTAACACTACCTTCTTCCCTAAATTGCGATACATTTGCACAAACTTCTCACACACCGTCATCTTCATCCCTTTCACATTCATTTGGAACGAAGAAACATTCGGAAAGAGTAACACTCGGCGCATGTCTTCCGCTAACGATATCTTCGATTTCCCACTTTGAATCGATTCCATCGTGTCATAGTAAATGCCTCCTTGCTTCTGTTGCATTTTTATCATCACAAAAGTCGTGTAGATCGACGGCCCACTCCCATCAAACCGGATTTTAACAATTTCGTTCCGCGCTTTGCATTGCAAGAACGCCGTGAGTGCGTCGTACGTCTTTTCGTTCCGCGAAATCGCGATGAACCGCTCGCATTGTCCAAATCGGATTGTTTTGATCGTCATGTTGTCCTCTTCCTGGACATCCACAAGCATACACTCAAACTTGATTCCTTTCTTGAACGTAAACTTCTTGCAACACAACACGACAATTTGTGGTTTTAACTTATCGCCGTCATACAACTCCAATTCATATAACGACTCCAACACTTCTGATGTTGGCAATTTGACGATATACGTGAGTTGCACGCCGGGGAATAAATAAGGAAGTTGAATGGTGTAATACGGTAAAGTACTTTCATCACATACAATTAACTCGGCCTTATTACAGCGAGACTTTTTAAATGCATGAAACATATACCCAAGTGCAGCTGTTCTCTTCCCATATCCACCAGTAAATAAAATATCTTGTCCACTCTTAAACCCCTCTTCAATCTGCGACTGGACTTCTTCTTCCTCGTCATTGAATGTAATTGGAAACCTTCCTATCGCATTACTCCACCGCTGTAAGAGCGACGCATTTCGCTCGGTTGTGAAGAAATTGTAGACTTCGTCGGAGACAAAAACGTCGATGGTCCCCGGCCACTTCACGCGATACATCGTCGAACTCTTTCCCGCTTCGTCGACTTGTGGGAGCTCTTGAATGATCTTCGACGGTATCAGTAACTGCGTAGGAACCATTTCTTGTATGAACGGTAAGACCTCCTTATGTTTTCTCTTTTGAAGGTCTTTCAAAGGTAAGTCCAAGTTCCACGTCTCGTTGAATTTGTCGACAATGCCGTCTCTATCGATCGTCGGATTGACTTCGGATTCCAATATCCACGTTGCTTCCGTCAATGAAAAGTTTTGCCATTGGACCAAATAGAGGACTTTGTCTGTCGGATACGTTTGGTAAAAGAGTTCCGTCGAAGGAACGAAGTATTTGAAAATCGTTGAAATCGGCACAGAGTCATTCTTTGGAATGTGTTTCGTTAAAACTTGTCGGATGACTAAAGAAGACTGCGTTTGCATATTAATTTCTTCTACTCTCTTCTTCTCTTCTTCTTCGTCTTGTTTCATTTGCTTGTGGCGCGTCCTCTTGGGACGAACTGGAGATTCTTCTTCCGAAGATGTCGAATTGACTTCCACTGGTTCTTCTCGGGGTAGCAATGTTTTCCTTAACACTACATATTCAAATGTGTCTCCCCCTCGTTGTATCGTCTTTTTCTCAGTGATCAAATCGTTGATTTGGTCCATCGTCTTTCTCTCTATTCACAGTTTCTTTTTTCTCATTTTTCTCATTTTCCTTCTTCTAAAACAAAGAAGAAATCTTAGGGTTCTTTTTCTCTTTTTTTCGGACCACTGGAGAAAACATCTTCTGAGCTTTTCATTCATTTTGTCAATGGTATGAAAACACCAAATTCTTTTCTCATATGTTTTCATTCAAAATATCAGACTCTACCGTTTCCTCTCTTTTTGGTCATCTTCTAATTGTGTTGATTTAAACCATTTTAAATACGTAAACTATTTGAAATAATTCGATGAATTAAACAAGCGAAAATAGAATTCAATTAATCAATAGTAAGAAGAACTAAACAAGAACCAAGTTGTAAATAAGACAAGACTATGTTAGTCATTCAATGCAGACGACTCTTTTTCAGGTGACATTTCATCCTCATCAATAGTCTGCAGAGACGGATCAAACGACTCTCCCGGCTTCGCTACAGACGGCGCCTTCCCTTGTTTTTTGACCCACCTATTTTCCCTCTCATCGACCAAGTCCATTAAAAGAAACCGGACTTTATTAGACACTCCTTGTGGCGTTTGTAGAACCGACTCGATCGTACCAAAGGCTTCGTCCATTAAGAACGATAAATCGTTTGATGAGTCCCAAACACTTCCGATGATGTGAAGGAGTAAGATGAGGTATTCAAACGATTGGTCGACGTAGTCGTCCAAGAGTTGTCGAATAATTTTGACGATGAAATGGGACGGGAAGAACCCGCGCAAGTTCAAGTGCCCTATGAATTTGATGATAGCAGAGAATCTGATTTGTGACTGTGACAAGATCCGTTGGATGACTTCCGGGGAGAGTGCCTCTGCTTTTGCCACCAAGTCCGTCTCCGTGGTGTTCCTCACATTAAATTCGACGTTCAAGATGTTCAACAAGAGTTGTGTGAAGTTCGCAGAGATGAACAGTGAGAGTGACACACACAAATCTGCATATGCTGGAATGTACTTAATATCTCTTGACGCTCTGTTCACAATAGTTTTCGCTAAATATGAGATGACACATCCATTCGAATAGTCAATCGTTAACAAATCAGTCACAACACCAGCAAATGTCATATCACTCAACTTATTCAACGTCGATGTAATAAAGTGTTTGATCTTATCGTCGGGTTCATAGTCTCCCGGTTCAACAACAGGGCAATCCAGTGGGGTATGTGTCGGGATCATATTCAATTCCGCAATTGGAGTCTTGAACGTGAATGGTTTAGTCTGGAGATTCGAATAGTAACAACTGACTATTGGTGATGCGTCCAGAATAGAATAGGCTGATGCCACTCGATTCTCCGTTGTTCTATTAAACAGTTCAGTTGAGTTCAAAGCGTACAGTTGATTGAATTCTAATACAAACGATTGCTCCTCATTTTCATGTTCAATTTCAACTTGAATGAATTTGTCTTCAATCACTTCAGTTCCAAACTCCTCATTTCGAAACACAGCGTGCACTTTCAACGGTGTTTTAATCTTCTTTGTTGTTGGGAAGAACAGCTTTAAAGTGTCTCCATCGGTGTATGTATAACTTGGGATGTTCTCCGTTTGTCCAACATCCAAGACATCTAGTGTTTCCTCTAAACTTTCATATTCAACATCTAATTTGACTAATGCAAGTCTCTGCGCAATCATCGCAAAGTAAAGGCCCCAGATTCCACGTTCCATGTCATTCAGGCGATTTGGTCCGACCATATCAAAGTAGGTATGTTTTCCATTCAAATTCCACGCAGAGTACAAATTGATTAACTCCCCACTAAACAAGTAGTGTGTACTAAACTTCTCTCCCGCATACAATTTGGTTGACCTTGATTGTGTCGCCAAGACAACATCTGTCGTCTCTGTGAATGGTGTGAATTGTGTGATGACAACGTCAGTGATCGATTTCGTTTCCGACGGCACAAGGCCTTCGATGAAGTGTACTGCGTTCTTATAATCGTCATGTGTTGGGGATTTGAAGTATTTCGAGTCCAACTGAAAGAGTTCAAAACTGGTTGTAGTCGATTGGATGGTGTAGACGTTAAACCCACACAACGAATTTCGCGTCTCGCACAGGATGAGCAACCCTATCAAATACGCTTTACACCACTGTAACTCTTCTTTGTCAAGTGTCAAGTCGACGACGATACTAAGATACTTCTCTTGATACAAACTCAAATTCTTGTTGATATTCATTTGGAAGAAGAGTCCATTGCTGTAGCGCGAGATGAAGTCTCCGCTGGTGTCTGTCAGTATGTACATGTTCATATCCTTTTTCTTCAACAGTTCCAAGTCCGAGTTCGACGAGATTTTGAACTTCTCCAGCTTTGTTTTAATGATGGCGTTTGTCTTTGTTGTGGAGTACGAGAACATCATCGGGAGGGTAGACTTGATATTCCCAACGGTGTTCTTACTCTCGATGTCCATCGAGATTTCTAGTGATCGCGCGTCTTTAAATAAGTCTTTTCCGAGGGAATAGAGGGTGACGGTATTCGATGGGATATGAATGAGTGCGTGGTCGATAGTATATGTTAATAAAATATTACTATAGGTGTCATAAACAGGAATAATCCCTGCAAAGATGAAACCGGGTGTTAAGTGTTTAGCGTTTTTCTCTTTAATTAACTCTAAATGTGTTCTTGAGAGCCCTTTCACATTTTTCGACCGTGTTGCATAGCAACTTGGCTTTAAACAACACTTCTCCAAATACGTCATTTCTATCGATGACACGATCCCATTCAACGTGGGGACTATCACCACGAACGCAAAGTCCTTCACTTGTGCCATGTGTTGTTCCGACGAGTACATTGACCGCAGTGTTATTTGAATTTTCGTGCGAGCCGTTTGTGTGATGCAACTCACCTCTGCCTTGACGTCTATCTTATCGATATACAATGGCAGTTTACAGCAGAGGGTCATCTTCTTTTTTTCTTTTTCAGTTTTCCTTTCTGTTTTTTTCTTCCTTCATCCACTGCTCCTTTCCGTCCTTTCACTCTCATTTTCTTTTCGTTCTTTTCTCTCATCTTTTGAATCAAACTCGACATGTTATTATATATTTGTTTCCCCGTAGTTTTCATAAAAATGGGTCCTTTTTACTCTACAATATATTAGTATTGTTTGTGGTTTAATTATAGTTTACTATTATTATTTTGTTAATAAATTAGTTATAATTTATTTGTATTTTTAATGTATTTTTTTATTTTAGTATTATTATAATTTATTAATAATTCAAATTTACTAGAGAAATACACCAATAATCACAAGACACCAAATCAATTCATCAAATCATCATTTTGAAAATCCCGACTTTTAAGATAGTCCTGAAGACAAGCCTCAAAAAACAAAAAATGGTACCAAATAGTATATTTATAATAAATAAATAGTAAAGAATAGAAATCGGCGTCTATGTATTTGGATAAGGCTTTGAAGAAACTCAAAACCTAAAGAACCCTTACATGTCCGGAATAAGCTTGAATTTGGGTGCAAGGAGCTTTGTGCCGAAGAAGAAGAAACCCGAGGAGGAGAAGCCTGCTCCCATCGACGACGAGTTAAAGCAAGAGATTGAGAAAGTTGAAGAGGAGGCCTCGGAAGGCCCGATTAAAGAATCTGCGAACATCATTTTTGTCGGTCATGTTGATGCGGGGAAGTCGACGACGTCGGGGAACATATTGTTCCAAGCTGGTACGATCGAGCAGCGGATCATAGATAAATACGAGAAGGAGGCGAAGGATAACCAACGTGAGTCGTGGTGGTTAGCGTACATTATGGATCAGATCGAAGAAGAGAAGTCGAAAGGGAAGACCATAGATGTCGGTCGTGCGTTATTTGAAACTGAGAAGCGCCGATATACCATTCTCGATGCCCCAGGCCATCGTTCATTTGTACCAAATATGATTTCAGCTGCTGCACAAGCTGATATAGCTGTCTTAATCATATCGGCACGAAAGGGGGAGTTTGAGACTGGATTTGATAAAGGTGGACAAACTAAAGAACACTCGCAATTGTGTCGAACGGCTGGTGTGAAAACAGTTGTGATGGCGGTCAACAAAATGGACGACAAGACAGTCAATTGGGACAAAGCCCGTTACGATGAAATTATCGGGAAAGTGAAACCCTACTTGAAACAGTGTGGGTTCACCGATTGTTACTCACTCCCAATTTCCGGATTCAGTGGGTTGAACTTAATGAAGCGTGTAGACAAATCGGCATGTCCCTGGTATGATGGGCCGAGTTTGGTGGAGTTGTTGGATAGCATCAAATTAGTCTTAGGCAATCCAAAAGGTCCGATTCGTATGCCGATCATCGACAAATCAAAGACGGGAAAGGGCGATCCGTTGTGATGGGGAAAGTAGAGAGTGGGACGATAACAAAAGGGTGCAAATGTGTAGTGATGCCGATTGAATTAACTATCGAAGTAATAGGAATCATGTATGATGAAGGGAGTGTAGTCGCTTCTGTAGCACGACCGGGAGATAATGTGAGAATCATGATGAAAGGAGACCAAGCAGATCAAATCCAAAGCGGTTTTGTGTTGTGCTCACCAGACAGTTTATGTCATCATAGCGATTGGTTCCAAGCACAATTAGTAGTGTTGGAATTACCACGTCCTTTACTAACACCAGGATATGAAGCAGTCATTCATATCCATACTTGTCAAGAGGAAGTGTTGATCAACAAAATTACTGACCAACTCGACAGAACTACAGGAAAGGTCTCGAAGAAAAATCCACCATTTTTAAAAAGTGGAACTGTCGGAAATGTCGTCATCCGTGTCGCTAAACCGATTTGTATTGAGACATATGAGGCATTCCCTCAACTCGGAAGATTCACTTTGAGAGATGCGGGAAAGACTATTGCATTTGGAAAGATCATCAGAATCAAAGGAGATAAAAAAAAGTAAAATTCATCGATTTTTTTTGTTATTCGTTTGTTTTCACTTTGAAATCGATGAAAACATTGAGATTAGTTTATAATAATATTATATTATTATATAATTAATATTATAATTAATATTATAATTAATATTATAATTATATAATAAAACAAAACTATTATTTTTTGTTGTGAAAAATAACAATTTTCTTTTTTGTTTGTTTTTTACAATTTGAAGTTTTTTTTAGAAAAGAAATTTTGGGATAAGAATTTTTTTTTGGTTATTGATATTTCTTTTCATCAAAAAATTGGTTTTGAAAATTAGATTTGTTGGTTAGAACGAGCAAAGTATTTATAGAAACTGGTTTTGAGAAATATTGAAACAAAACTGGTTGGTAAAAGTGATTGAGAACAGAAATCATACTTTTACTACAAAAAGCTATACTTCAACACAAAAATCATCTTTTTATGGCAAAAACTAAAACCTCTAGTAAAAAAGTCATTTTCGAGCAATATTTGAACTATATTATAATAATAAAAATACCATAAAAAAACTACACTGCAGTGAAGAACAAGTAAACAAATTCTAAAAGTTCTTAAAAAAAAGTTAAGCAATGAACAGGTTAAAAAGCGTCTAAGATAGCCTTAATTTTACCTAAAGAATTATAAGATCACCCCCAAGACGGTGTTTTGTAAATTGAGTTGAATTGACTTTGGGTCGAAGTTTCGACTGTTCCAAAACTGCATTGTTTGCCGGAACTTGAAAAAGAAAAGAGTCAACCCTAAACGGGGAGGAATGTTATTAAAAACAATAACAAAGAAATAAAATGTTATAGTTTCGTCACCAGCGATTTCTAAGAGTAGAAAACCCTAGCAGAAATGTTCCGAAAAAAAAGAAAAAAAGAAAGTTTCCCAAAATTGACGACATCAAGGATAAGAATCAAGAAAATAGAACGAGGAGAT